CTGAAAAACTCTTTCAGCCTCGACCACATAGTTTCAATATTGTTTATGTGCACTCCGGTAGTTGATTGCATAAAATGTTACTTGTGGATAACGACACGATGCACATAACCAAGCCTATGTAGGAGTCTGTACGCTCTCCAAAAATCCGTATATATTGTAGTACCTGGCTGCAGCCAGTGTTACTGGTGCTTTTATTGTCCAGTTCGCAATAATTGTCGTAATTGCCTTAGTAGGAATTATATATGGAATTTTCATCATGAACTGACATCAGCTATGATGCCAGCAATTTATTTAGCCAAATCGATGAAAGGCTCTCGCATTAAAATCCGAGATCTATTATCTCATACCTGATTGATTCGTCCACAAATTATAGTCCCGCTGTTTTATTCGTTATAGCCGCTCAATTATCACGTTTTGTATAAAATTCCTTGTGAACCGATCGTACGTTAGCATTAAGCACTGAAGTTGACGCCGTAACCTTGAGATCTCAAAGAGGCTTCTGACTGGCTCGTCCATAAATTAGTCTCGTCGAATTTTCTTAATGAATATTCATTAGAATAGGATAAAAAGATGAAATCAAATTTGTAATTCATATTCAATATTAGGCGTTTGTCTAATATTGGTTTTTCTCAATTCCATTCAATCATTATTTCCTGTTTTTTGTGATCAGGAAATGTTGAAATGAATTGGTTGTTATGTGTGTTTTTTCTTTTTAAAATAAATCAATTTTTTTATACAACCAGATCCCTTGATAAATTTAAAACAAACCCAAGAATGATCTGGGTTTGTAGAATAAAATAATTTCATCATCCTATATCACGATTTCATATCAGATACATAAAACCTAAACATTTTTGTTGTTAACGTATATAATGTACTTTAGTTTATGAAGTTTAGATCAATGTCCAAAATATAAATATGTACTGTCTGTGCTTCGTTAATCAATCTACCCTGGTAACTGTTATTATATAAAACTCAACGGTATTTAAAATCAGAAGGCAAAGAGAAACAGAGACTACAGTTTTATTAGCAGATAACTCAGACCACAAAGCAGACAGGCAAATGATTGAGTCAGAGAACCGAGAGTGAATGGGATTAAATATATATATGCATGAATGAATCAGCGAATCAGTTAAGTAGTTAACAGTAAACCTAGCAGAATGGATGTATGTGTAAGCAGTAAGTAATGCTCAAGCATACATATTCATACAAGTGCAACAATAATAAAGGTATGATGATCTAAGATAAGTTGTTATTGTACGAATAACTCTGTCCGTTAAATAAGTTAACAAAAGGGTTTGACCAAATTAAATGTCAACAAACTCAATTGCACGTAAGTTGCTATAAATGAAATCATTGTAATACAAAGAATAAAAATAAAAAGTGTAAGAATAAACATAGTTAGGTTCTTTATAAGCGAAAATGGATGGTGGCTAGCAGTGGAATCCAGGACTCGCGTTTTGTCCTATTTGAGACTCGTCAACTGGATGTACTTTCATAGTTAAGATCAATGCGTATTTATATTAGCATAGTGTAATAAAAAGATGATTATCAAACCTATGTGATATATGAACGTAATACATTTTGAACAATCTGATCACATATAATATACTTGTTAAGAACATTTATATACACCATTTTATCCTATACATAAATGTTCTTAACAAGCATATTATGTGTGATCAGATTGCTCGAAATGTATTACGCTAAAATATCACATAGTTCTGATAATTTTTGTCCTCTTATTCCACTATTCAAATTTATCAAAGGTACTAATAGCTTTAAGTTTATTTTATATCAGAAGGGGTTTTGTGGAGATTTTAGTAATTTACATAATTGAAATCATGAGTCAATTGAAGCTAGACCACCATGGAAAACCTGGAAGCACTAAACGGCCGTTTCGTCTTATTGTGGGATCCCAACAGTGCGCACCTACGACCCCGCCTCGCGGGATTCGAACACAGGAACTACTGTTCTCGCACGCGAGCACTTGACCACAAGTTCACTGAGCCGGCTGGCATCCAACGACGCTGAGGAGTCCCACTACAGGACGAAGCGGCCGTCCAGTGCTTCCAGGTTTTCCACGGTAGTCTGGCTTCAATTGACTCATGGCCTCAATTATTTTATATGTTGGAAAGCAGTAACACTGAGTGGAACAGTTCTTATTGTTAAAATTAATCCTACTTTAGATAAAAGGTGTTATGTAAGCATAATGAAGTTCCTACGTGATTAGGTAATCGCTCAACATGATGAAATAAATAACTGAATATAAAACAATGGTGTAAAGGATGAATATCAGCAGACACAATAAAAACAAAGAGAAAAGGTTGGACACAGGGTTGAAATATAAACATTGGAAGTTAAAATTAATGAAGGTTAGAAGATGAACGTCTAATTATCATAGAATAGAAAAGTTAACTACACTTTTCATCTGTATACATAGGTCAGATCGAAAACATTTGACAGTGATTGTCTCTAGAAAACAGAATAAGATTGTATTCTTTGTCTGTTAATTGTTTTGAATGCGTTATTTACATTCACTTTATATTTATTATCCAAAAGGTGTCTGGCAATTGCACTTGTGAATGCTTTACTCTTTTTCAGCCGTAGGTTTCTATTGATGTATTCATGTAAATGCCCCTAAGATATCAAGTAAATAGAAAGGTTGGAGTGAAGCACTTCTACTAGGTTTTCTGAACACAGTTCATATGTGTATCACTGACATATCATATAGCTTTGAGACCGTATATGGTCTGTCTGGATTATGCCCATACTATCATTTTCTTCATTTCACTCATCTGTATCATTTGACTTTGTAGAATATATCATAAGATCAAGTTCAAGTGCTTTTTTTTCTCATTCATTGATGAAAACTCCTGAAATTTATAACAAATAGTATTCTGATCCAATAGTGTTATAATAAACTTTGTTGACACTTATGTACAGTAGAATTTAATACTTAATAACAGAAATTTAATATAATACTTATTTATCAAAAACAAATTTTTCTACTTATTATTATTCAACTAAGTAGTAGTAGGTCAGTTTGTCAAAAAAATCTGTTTATTATTTACAAATCATCTTAGAAAATTGTTAACCTTAAAAGCAAATTATGACACATAACCAAGTAAAAAAAAAGAAAAGAGATATTCTGGAAAAAAGTAAAAAAAAGTAAATCATGCAGAAAATAGATATATTTGTGTGATCAGTACAAGGATTTGTAAAGGTTGTAGTATTTTGAAAGTTGCATTCATAAGTCGATCTATGCTAGACCACCAGTGAAAAATTAGAAACACTGGAAGTCTATTTCATCCTATTGTGTGACTCCTCAACAGTGCGCATCTACGATCCTGCTCGAGAGATTCCAACCTAGGGTCTTCAGTCTTGTGCGCGAATGAGATCGTGGATGCGCACTGCCGAGTAGTCTTACAATATGACGAATTAACTGTCCAGTGTTTCCAGGTTTTCAATGGTAGTCTAACAACAATCGGTTCATGATTTCAATCAAAAAAATTAATTTTCTACACAACCCTATACTGATAATTTATTTTTCGTTTCTCATAACTTTCTCTCATTTTTCTTAAAAATTCCTTTTGAATACGAGTGGTAAATTGATCAAGATAATGTAAATAGAAACAGATTTTTTAGTATTATTCGGGAACTGATGTATAATTTTGTTTTTACATAATAAAAGCATTTTTCCATCTTAGTTCAGTAATAATTTCAATGGCTAAGGAATTGAGTTGTAGCGATAAAAAAGTCAGATGCAGTATGAGTTTTCCAACGGAATTAGATGTACAGCTTGAAGATGAATGACAAATGTTGGAAAATATACGTTTGAACTATTCACTTTTTTTTACTATTAAACGTGGTGTAAATTGAATAGAAAATTTCTCGATTATCAGTAGTTTTCATGACTGGAAACCAAGATATATTTATCTTAGTATATTCACATATAGAAAAGTTAACATGAAAGTATTCTATTTCATGTTTTTGCTTTTCTCAGTTCAACACAGGTAACAAGTAACTGTTGAGATGAATCAGAGGGAAATAGGGTAATTTATAACAAATAGATATACAATGATAAATCATGAAATATGTTTAGTTAGGTAAATAGTAGTGGTTGAGTGTTCAATTAGTAGTTACCAATGTTATGTTTATCTAAATTTATTGTGTTGACCAAATTTTAATGATCAACTACCAATATGAACATTAGTCTAAATGACTTGAGATAGTGTGTACTATATTGAAGTATTAATTGATTAGATGAAGCCGGTAACAAACCCTAGGCCTAGATTTCATGCTCAATGGCACTATTCAGCAGTGGACACATCAATCTCCCTAATAATACAGGTAGGCCTATGTGTGGTGTTTCATATCGATTGCTTCCAAGCACTTAATATATGTAAATAATGTATATCTAAACTTCGTAAACGCTTGTTTCTATTGAAATCAATCAATCCCATCAGTTATTTATTCAACTACTAGAATGAAAATGTTCATACGTTTTTTGATACTTTACCATAGCACTGCATAACTTTATTAATAAGTAATATTTCTTGTTCTAACCATTATGGTAATTTCATTCTCCTTCTTCTTTGGAAAGTTTTCACTCTCTTACTACTTTGAATGAACTAGATAAACACGTTCTAAAGAGAATAATCATAAATATATTATAATTCAATGTCATTAGATTATTCCATCTGAAGTTTGTACTGATGATGTCGTTCCGAAGGACGATGACAGCTCCATGACCAAACCAACCAGCTCAGACAACAAAACTCCATCAAAATAGGTTATTCCATATTAATGATTTTTTTATTTCACGAGATAAACACATTAGAATAAAGCCATACAATCTATTCATATCTGGTGAGGAAAACAAGTAAGACATTGTTCTAGTTCTTCATGGGAGCTGTTAAAATAACTCAAAATTATGAACTATTTTTATTGACAATTGTACAACACTATATCTTACACTATTGTTTTATATCGTACAGATAACTGAAGATAATGAAAAACATGATAATACTTTATCAGACCATTTCATTGCAAAACTCTATACAACACATATTGAAGATGATACAGAATTACATGATCTTGAAAGAATCTCTACTCAATTGGAAACTCACATCGTTGCTGAAGAAAATCTAATGTCTCAACCTTATAATTATGGAAACATATATGAAAATAATGTTAGAACGAATGAAAAAACCGATCATTTTGTATATTCAGATACTCCAACTCTTACTACTACTTCTAAATCAAATGAAAGTAATCATAACATGATTTCTTATCAAAATATGAAATTGAAATGTAAAAATAATCAATTTCCATATACATCACTACCTATTGATAAACTAATAGACAATTCTAAACAAAAAGAAGAAACATTTAAGAATACAAAAGAAGACTTATATCATTCAGACATATTGGAATTCTATGAACACGTGATCCCAACAATAAATTCTTCTCTATCATTGGATAATTCATATTCTGCCTCTATTCAAAGTCCAAATAATCTAGATGAGAAGAATAGTATTATAAATGAAATTCTCTATCCTTATTATCCATATGAACAACAACTAACTCAATATAATTCAACTTATACATATATGAACAATAAACAATATTATTCATTGATTCATTTGAATAAGGAAGGCAGTCATTTAGAATTAACCAATAATCATAAAGTTGGATTGAAAAAATCGAATAGAAAGTCAAATAAAAATTTTCTAACCACTTTTTTCAATAAGACTAATGATTCTTTAAATTATTCTATTGATCAATCTTATTCTAATAATTCATCATTAATATTGAATAATACATTGAATATTGAATCAGAAATGATCAGAATAAAACAATCATTGAACATTATAAAACTGATCAATTATCAATATTAAATAATTCAATAGAAAAATCAATAGAAAAATCATTTAATAATAATAATAATAATTTAATAACATTTTCTGATACTACTCAAAAGTTATTTAATAATACTACTAATACTACTATTACTACTAATACACCAACTTGTATTGGAATCAAACAACAATCTACTAATAATTCATTATCATTAACAAAACCATTTTGTTGTTTTAATGAAAAATTATTAAAACGTGCACAATTAATTTTATCGAATTCACCAATTACTAATGAACCGGATCCAACTGATACATTATTAGCTTTAACTGAAGACAATAATAATAATAATAATAATAATCAATATAAGAGATCACATCAAACAAGTTTCTGTAAATCATCAATAAAAAATTATTTTCTATCATTATCTTGTCCACAATCATTAAGTAATCAGCTATTAGAGGATAATTATGATACTTTATCAGATGGTAGTGATTTTTCCATTCATGTACCTATTACAAATTCAATTCTTAATGAAAATACATTTAATGAATCGAAATTATCATTAATACCTAATTTTAAAGAATTTTATGCTAATAAACATTTATGGGAATCTATTCATTCACAATGGTATATACATATATTAAAACGTATTACTGACGAAGCTAAATTAATATCAATACCAGAACAAATAATCTATTACGATAATTTACATACGGAATATATGTCATCTTCGTCTAGTTCACGTGGTTCATATTTTACAAATCAAAGAAGAAGACCACATTCTTCTGCTTATAGTTATGAAGTAAATGGTTTAGTAGATGATTTACCTGGAACTTATGAAAGTCCTAATTCATCATCATCAATTATTTATTCAAGACATTTATATAATCATAGATCATTACATGATGTTTATCCGGATAGATTTATTAAATCATTCAATGATGATGATAATTATGGAATAAATTTAAAACCAATTTCAAAAAGTAATTTGAAAACTTCATATGATCCACGATCATATAGATCATATTCAGAGGCTGGTACATCACATCATTATCATCCTCATCATCATCATTATCCTCGTGAAAAAGATAAAACTGGTCTAGCATCAATTATTCATCATGATCGTCGAAATAAGTCAGGATTAATTCATCATACTTCAAGTCGTTCAAAACACTTAAAACCAAATGATGTTGAAAGTGTTTTACAACAAAGAATTTTAAAAGATTCTAATAGACGTATAAAATCAACAGAATTAGATAAATCAAAAGATTCCGTATATTCAACACGATTTAATAAAAATTATCAAGATTATGAAATAAGTCATAGAATAAAAAGAGGGAATTTAAGAAGTTATACACCAACTTATAAATCGTTTCATACTCCACAAACAAAATGGTCAAATGATAATAGTTTTTTAGAAGTTGGTTCATATTTTTCTTTACCTTTAAAAGATTATGGTAGAAAAGGAATAAAACATTCACGACCTACATTGACTAATCAACGTTATGATCCATCTAGTATAGAATTTTCACTACAACAAAAAGTCCCATCTGATGAATGGAATAAATCTGATCATTTAACTCGAAGAATTGGAAATCTATCCAAATCAACTGGTCATTTAAGTCATTTAGATGATTTAAACAAATTTTCAGGTTCTACTTCTATGCAAACTTTAAGAGCTCGATTAGCTGCTGCACATTCAGAATTTAATTTAGACTATCAAGAAAATATATCGGACTCATATGAGTTACAAAAATTGGACAGTAACAAATTTGGTTCACTTGATCGTCGAACTGATTCAAATGAGTTTACAACTCGACAACTAAGACAACAAGTAGAACAACATCATCGTCGTTTACTTAAAAGTTTAATGACTGATGAACCTTATGAATCTAGTTGGCCATCTAGTTTTTCAAATTTTGATCTTCAAGGATACTTAAACTCATATTGTGATGAATCAGAAATGCGACCAACAACTCTTATTTCATCTACTTTAGCACCACCAATATTTTCTACAGCCTCAACAAGACTTCCGTTAAGTATTGAACAAGGTAAAATAGATGAAACAATGGTAGAACCTACAAACTATACATCTACAACTGACCAACAGTTTCTGTCCGTACCAAATATGTTAACTACATCGAATTTGAATTCTACCGCTCCAGTAGTATTGCCAAATCAAGTACCTTTAATAAATAATTTAGCTGACAACATAATGAATAATACAATCATAAATCAGCCTACATCGGTCAGTTTAAATGAACAAATACCAGTTTCAAATAACACATTAATCGAGCTTATTAATAATCCTGATTTTATACAAGCTCTTACATATAATCCAGAACTTATTAACCAAATAAATTCAATGTGCCTAGATCTCGCGCCAGCTGATTTGAATCAAGTAACCTTAGCAGCTGTTGCTGGAGCAATCGCAGCCACAGCTGTAGCTGGTTCTGGGATGTTAGATAATAATACTACTTCTGATAATATTAATAATGTCATTACATGTCACCGACTAATGAACACATTATCAATAGTCTACTACAAAATACAATTGCATCAGATCAAATGATGAATAATTATCCAAATACTGGAAATTTCATTTTAAATAACAATAATACTGACCTTATAAATAACGTTTCATCTATAAATTCTACTTATTTACCAAATAGTCATATTATTAATGATATTAACAGTAATAATAACATTCCAAGAATGAATACTTTATTACCTGATGGGAATTCTTGTGTAGACACTATAAATCCTGAATCAATAGATATACTGATTGAACAAGTACGCAAATTATTAAATGAACAAAACAATGTGATTTGATGAATACGACAACTTCAATAAACGATACTGTTATAAATAATAACCCTATCAATACTACTAGTAGTAGTATACCTTTTAATAATCAATTATTATCATCGTTACCATCATCAATTCATCAAACAAATCAATCAATAATGAATGAAGATAAAATACAAAATCCTGTAGATATTTATTATCAAAAATCATTGGGACATATACATAATCAGTCAGTTGATGAAGTTAATAAACAACAATACAATAAAATGCCTAGTGAAACAATTAATAACTGGCTTGGATTAAGTGATGATGAATGGAATTATAAAACTTATAAAGGTAAATATAATCTCTACTATCATTTATTATTTCAATAGTTAAAATTATATTATACCTTGTAGCCTGTGTGCCCTGTTAATGTATAATGTAACGATACCGCCAATTGGAGAGCAGTGAATTGTCAATCGAACCAGTGACGCATAAAACCCATGCGAGCAGTCTAGAGTCCTTATTGGTCCTGCTTTCTGCTTAGCCCAGCTTGTTAAGTCCAGAACCCCAATCTCAGCCTGTGAGATACGGATCATTTATTACAAACATACGGAGTTTATATACCAATCAAACAGACCACATCGTACCATAAAATATGAAACAATATTTGTACAAGATTTGGCTAAATGTGAGTGTGGGAGGTAATGATTAATAGACAGGGCATAATTCATGAATGGTAAATCGTGTAATAATAGTTCATAGTTCAAAATAAAGCTCACGATAAGAAGGATTCGATTTAGTATCACCCAGGTTCACAGTCAGAGACGTTACTGCTGAGCTATCTGAGCCGCGACCGACCTCCTGTAGGACTTAGATGTAGTCACAATTGGTTGATCACTGGGTGGCGATCAATGTCATGCGTGTCTAGTCCTTATTAGTACAGATCAAATGCTATCGATCATGTTGCAACGTGGCAAGGGAGCACCAGTTCCCTCAAGATTACAGGTACATCTTGCTGACGAGTGCCGAGTAGCACGAAACCCGGGTCCAGGGTTTCCTGTCGACTACCTTCAACCGCCATCTAAATCTCAATATGTAGTGCCAGCAGTGTCGAATCACCTAGAATGGTGGCCACATTGCAACATGGTCGATAGCATTTGATCTGCACTAAATAAGGACTTGACTTACATGACACTGATCACCATCCAGTGATCAATCAATTGTGAAACTTCATATATGCAGAACGTACAAATAATTTTTCATATCTTTTCTTTGAAATCGGTAAATTTTGTCTGTCAACTAAAATTGACTAATCACATAGCAGTGATAGATGATATGTTCATTTAACTTGTTACTACTGGTCAAACTAAATCAATCAAGTTTGAATGATTCAATATCTTATGGATTACAACGAGATGCCCAGTGGTTGAGGGTAGTCAACTACAAACTCTGGGGTTCAATTTTGTGTCATAAGACGCTTGCCAGAAAGGTATACCTGTAATCTTCAAAGAACTGGTGCTATCCAGTAAGTTAAACCTAATGTCATCCAGCTACACACTTAAAAATGTTATGATTTAGCTATCCATGTGGCAACGGACCTCCTATTGGACATCTGATTGATCAATGATTAGTGACCAATATCATGTTTGTCAGGCCTTTCCTAGTGCTGATCGAATTCTATTTTTTAACTACTAATAAATATCTCACCAGATTATCCTAAAAAAACACGGTCTAAAAGTCTCATTTAAGGCTGATAATATGCATAAATGAATAAGCCTAATTTAGTACTAAGTAGACTGTAGTTTTCAGTAATTCGTTAGGTGCTTTCTATCAATATCTATCATCTTTTTGTTCATTAAAATATTAAAATAGTAGCTAATAATTTTAAACTACATTAGTTAACCTTTAGTTTTAATGGAATTTTATTATCTCATAGAATGTTAGAAGGATAAATCTTATGTTTTATTCATAGACTTAATGGTATGGTTTACAACTAATTGGATTTAACCAGTTTATACTGTTTACAATCAATAGTAGTATTGTTATTTTTTTCTAACTAATAGAATATTTCAGAGAATCAAGTTACCATGATACCTAAGTAAACAAATTCTCTACCAAAAATTTATTTCTTTTATCAAATATTTGCAATTTTTTCTGATCAAGCTAATATGATCCTCTTCAGTACTTATTGATAGCACATAAAGACTAATTTTTGAACAGAGGATATTCTTTTCGATAAATTCTTTTCAGTTTCTACAATACATATATCCAAATTAATAATCTAAAAAAATTGTCAGGTTAAGGATAAAATGCATCGTTTAAAACGCACTGCTGAGGAGTCAGACAATGAGACAAAATGGTCGTTCAGTGCTTCCAGATTTTCAGTGGTGGTCTAACATCAATCAGTACATGATCTCAATTAAAGCAAGTGAACAAACTAGAATAAAGTTGTTAATGTTGATATGACTCAGATAGAATGTTAACTTGAATCAGCTTATATGTTAAGTGAAATTTAAGATCCATGATCCGAATAAATATGAGTTAGATACAATGAGAGAAATAATAATGCAATTTCATTTCGATCAAATGTTTAATGGAAGACTATATTATGTAAAAAAATATTATTAAAACATAATAAGGAGGGATGAATGCGAAGATATTTCTTTTCTAAGCAGAGCTCAATTTTCTCCATTTGGATGGCTACTGCTTCAGACGTTTGAAGGACTTTAAATCTGACAAGCTCTTACAGAAAAATTTCTGGTTTATACTGGCACTATGACCAGTTTGCCCTAAATGGGCCAATATCAAGGCGTTCACTTTCTTCACCAGACTTTTGTCTAGCTAGGCTGGGTGTTCGCGAGCACCAAAGTGTAAATTCCTAGAACTTCGACCAATATAACTTGCTCCACAGGAGTAGTCGAACTGATAAATACAAAATGAGGTAGTCATTCTAGTTAATTTATCTTTTAACCTCGGTGTCACCATTTGACGCGTGGAAAACACCAACAGTAGTTCTCCGGCGTTGAAAGACTTTTTCAGTTTTCTACGTAATCTCTGATTTAATATTTCGCTAGCCGCATCCCCTCTGGATTGTAGGCGCATGAACAGGGATTTTTTATTCACCGTTTGTATTTCGCCTATTTTCACCTTCATGATGATATATTTAATTATAAACTTTCTATAGTAACCATTCTCCCTAAGAGTATTACACATGGTGTTTATCTTTTTTTCAACTATATCCGTCGATTATATAGTGAGTATTCGGTAACTAATTAATTAGGTTTTGTTTGTACTGTAGAGGTACAAAGCTATGGAAATGCGCATACTGCCCAGTTCATGTATTTTTTCTGTTTAAATTACTTGTTTATTGATCCATTCGCTCTTATAGTTAAGAGAACGTCCAAAAAGTCTATTCTACCATCATTCTCTTCTTCAGATATAAACTCAATGGCTCGATGTATTTCATTAAACTGCCTAAGAACCTCTTGGTGTGATATATTATCTTTACAGAGGATGGGCGTGTCATCCATATATCGATCAGTTTCAATGTCATCTAGTATAGGGCTCAAATATTAGTCTTTTAATATAATGAGGATCTTTAAACGGCATAAAAATTATTTGTTTTGCTTTTTTTTGCAAAATGACATGATGGTACTCAATATCATTTACTGTATATATTTTTTCATTATCAATTTGTCCTAGATAACGTACAAATACATCATTCTTTATATATATGTATGTATATATATACCCATCTACCCTAATTAAAGTCAAAAACTTGAAAAAATCCACTGGCAGTTACTTTCAAGAAACAGCTTACTATCACCATTGCATATTAACTCACGTTATATATATATATAATATTCTCTTAGAAGTTAACCCTCTTTGTAAGTATACCTAACTATTTGTAGTTCTGTGTGTAGTGTAGTTAATTATTCCACTGTTTCTTTTTCCTCCTTAGAAAAAAATTCTTTTCGTCTTTTTTTTCAGTTTACTATTGTTTTATAACGTTTAATCAAATCGATTAACTAACTATGTTACGGAAGTCAATTGTGATAAACATTATATTGAATAAATAATGGACTTTTGAATGTAGTAGTTATATAACGGAAGTTATTCATCATTATTGATTCGTTGTATACTTTCTCTATGAAAGAATAATAATGGATGAAATTAGTTTTCCTAAAACATTACAAAATAATTAGTTTCAGTATCATATAAGTTAATATACATTTCGTTAATAAATTGTCTAACTATTACATAAGTAACCATTTTGCCCAAGAAAAAATAATATCTACAAAGTAAGTATTTCTCTGGAAATTCTTTCATGATATTGTTAGATCCTAGCGAAGATTAAATCATGAGTAACTTCTGAGACCTATTAATGGACTAATATTATCTATATATTCTTATGGGATAACTATTCAGCAATTAGATTGTGTATATTTATATGCATCTTATTATAAGCTTCATTTTGATCTATAGATTATTATTGTACAATTTACTGTTCTTAAATTATACTCAGTCAATTAATTATTGTCTGCCATGTTCACAGCCACTTTTTGGCTTTATTGTGTATAAATGTTATCTCCTATTTCTATGATGCGTTGCGGTCCGTTTGGTTGATATATCAACTCGGTATGTCTGAAATAAATGATTCGCATAGCGAATGCTGTTATTGACATTCTGAACTCAGCTGGACGGATTAGGCGAGCAACGGATCAATAGGACGCTAGGCCGGTCGGACTGGACAAACGTTATTGGTTTAGTACAGTACAAGGGTGAATAAGTCGTATTTGATTGGCGAATAAGTTACGTGATAACTAGCTGGACTTAAAGGCACAGCAGATATGAATGGATTATTACAAAGAAATAGATATCGAAATCATTTAATCGAGCTTCAATAGTCAAATTTCATGTATGGATAAAATAAAATCCCAGGTTAATAAAAGTTGAAGAATATCCATACTGGTAAAAATGTCTTCATTACTTATCTTCCTTTATAGTATGAATATAATTATGACTTAACATTTATTTATGGACTGCTGAGGAGTCCCACAATAGGACAAAAAAGCCATTAAGTACCACCAGGTTTTCCATGGTGGTCTAGCTTCAATTCACTCATGATCTAAACTACTGAAATTCATTTATTTATAATTTATCTATTGCATTTTTACAGTTTATTTCAAAAATTTTCTTCCTAAGCTTCTTATTAATTCATAGTGTTTGAACGCTTTACTATACGAAGAGAAATGTTTAAGTCTCTTATGCTTTTCTTTATTCACTTTAACAGGTAGTTGTACTGGACAATGCCTGATCATTCATTTAGAAACTACATTATTTTTATTGCTTATTCGTTGCGATTTGTTCAAATTAATTTTATTAAAATAACTAGGGTCAATAGGATAAGTTAGTATGGACAGCTTCATACGAGACACTTTTTCCAAAAGAGATCTTAGAATTTCTTATCTATATGTTTTATGAGGTAACGTTAAGAAATTGTTAGCAGATAAGCCTTGACTTTTAAATAATTCATATTGTAGCGAATCAACTGACTTAATAGCCAATTTATTCAATTTCCAATAATTGGATTATATGAACAAAAACTATCCAGCTATTTAATTTCTAGTAACGATACAATGACATTAGCTTTCATATAATATGTAGCTGAAAAGTAAACCTCAACCTTTCCAATGTTCACCAACTTTACTGTATTCTACAGTTCCGGTAATTCTACCGACTTGATAGAGAGAGTATTTAATATTAGCGTGTAATTGTTACTAAAATAGGTAAAACACAAACTCATTTATTTTTGAGTATTATTTATCACCGACTCCAGTTTGAGTAACACAGAAAACTGGCGAGTGTCGAGTAGGTATTTTGTCTAAACATCTGATTCCTCAACAGTGTACAGACATAACTTGTCTAGAGATCGAACTCGTCAAGAGTTTTTTTTAACAATTGAATCATTGGATTAGCATCCTGTACTTTAACTCCAGCCAATGAACGATGTATCACGATGAGTGTCAAATACCACTTTTAACAATTGTGTTTTTAGTCTCAACATATTAGCTGAACTTAACAGGTCACAACTCACTTGAACTTCAAGAAATCATCTCAAAGTAGGTGACAAAATAGAACACAACTAGAAATTAAATGAAGTGATTTTGGAATGATCAATGTAACGTAGTTCAAATTGTTACTGTTCATAGTGTCATTCAAATACTTTTTCAAAAAAGAAACATTAGTGAGACTGTCATTTATGGACAACCTTTGAGCGACGCCAAAGTGACCTTGAGAGTGTCTACCTACTTAATAGGGTTAAATGAAGGTTATAAAGCATTCTGAAGAATAATGACAATCACTTATAGTTGATGGTAATGGTTAGGATTTAAATTTATGGTTTTCCTCACGAACTGACATTAGCTAAAATGCCAAGACGTTATTTAGACGAATTGGTGAGTGAATTTCTTTCCAAAATCCAAGATCTGTTATCCTAAATCTGATTGGTTGGTTCATAAATTTTATTCTCTCCGAAACATGAATAGCTCTTTTTTAGTAACAATTTTTTATTAGACATGGCTGCTAACCATATGCCTAACCTTCCTAATTTACTCGAGCTCGGGACCTGCATTAACCCTAGAAGATCTTCAGGAGGAGTTGACTAGATTAGTATAGTTACGCTAAGGTCTAAATGACATTATATACCATCAATTGAGTTACAACAATTAGACCATTTTTCTCGTCGATCCAAGATACTACCTAACCATTGTAAGTAGTTATAACATTTTTATATTTTTATAAATTAACAATGTAGGTGCTAACTTTCCGTTAGCATAATAAGGGAATAAAATGAGACAAATTAAAGTTGTTTTTACTGTCATCTTAAAGAACCGAGTAAATGACTAATTATGTCACTAAAATTGCCATATATATTTATATCCGTAATTTAGTAAACGTTTCTACTATTATCATATTTATTTTCATAGATAACACGACAAATCCGAATTCATGGATAGACAACAATACTACATGGCCTTCATTCAATCCATTAACTAATAACGTAAGTTATACCTACATTTAACATCAGTAAAGTCCTTTATACTAGTAACAATACTAATGAGAAATAGTAATTGAGATAATTATCAAAACAATATGAACAGAAGTACTGATAATATTCTTGTTTTTTATTCCATACCATAGTGAGTATATGTCTATGTCTGTGTGATAACAACATTCGCCCATATATTATAAATTCTAATAAACTGTGTATATAATCCTTACGATAATATTAGTTTATTAACTGTGAATAATAAAAAAAGGATTATAATTGAATTTGTAATACTTTGGATTATCGCAATGTTTATATGGTGATTGTCATAGAATAACCATTGTTTTAGGTACATCTAGCTGACAAGTCTCAAACAAGACTAAACAATCGTTCTGTATTCTCATCCTAGCCACCTATTCTATAAGAAAAGAGATTAATCAAGAGTCTAGGTAAACGTTTTACAAGTGGGACTGAAGATAGTGAATTTATGTATTTAATTGATTGCTGTAAGAAGGTAATTTTACATTGGTTTTCAGAATGACTAGACGCTATCCCGGCTTTAACCAAGAACCCTCTTAGATCAAAATATGATTGTAATTAAACTAGCTTTCAGTATACTAGGGTTTCTAGTAATTTACTTTTTTAAAAAAAGTCGTAGTAAAAGCAGAGATAATGATGACAGGTGTCACAGAAACTTATTTAAAGCACTGGATAAAAAGATCAAAATAGTGACAGGTGCCTCCAGCAAAAGATTCATCAGTATTTGGACATCGAAAATGAATCAGGAGTGAATGTGAATTGAAGTTGAATTGAACATACATACAATAAGAAGTTTTGATTAATATGAAAATTAAGATTTTTGACATTATGATTATACATACACTTAAAGAACCTGATATTTTGATTTAATAAGTCATGTTAGATTTACTACTCTATACAATTGTGACCAATAGTCAATGCATTAACGAACTGATTCAATATCTGTTAAACTAGAAATCTTAGGTTATTTTATATGTTTTTTTGCTAAACTGTTCTGCATCGTATCCTTCGCCTCTGAGTGGCCAAATATTTAGCTTCTTCCATTTATTTGGTCTCAATCTGATTATGATTGACATATGCGTTGTAACACATAGGGATTGTTTTGCAGAAAAAATTTATTGAATTTCCTTTTTGAGTTTAAAAAAATAATACTTGATTGCTTCTGTTTTGATCAATGGATTTTAGTTAAGGTATTCAAGCAGCATAAAATAACTTCGGATAATACGAAATACCTTTAGCCACTCTCAGGAACTGAATTGAAAACTGAACAAAACTAATAAATATGAAAAATCATTTATTAACATGTAGTAGTAGTAGTGTTGAGTTGGCTTTCCGAGAACTGCAACGGAGCCTCCAGAGACCCTAAAGGAACCGAAGAGTCCTAGCCAATCAGAGCATGATGGAACTTTTTAGGATATCAACGTAGTAGCATAATATGACTTTTAGCGGATTGGACAAAATATGATGTTGATTTAACACATGTTAACATCTATAAATAACCGTGTTTTTCTGTACAAAAATGAACCTTTGGAGTAAAGTGTTTTTCGCTTATTTTGCGCTTTTTCTCTCGAGTTTAGGTCGCTGCGTAGTTCTAGATTGCGGGTCACAAGAGTAGCTTAGGAACCGAATAAAGCGTTCAAATTACTAAGACTTATCAGTGACGACGTAGATGGAATTCGAACCCACGCGGGGAAACCCCAATGGACTTTTCAAGTAGTAATAGTAGTTGTTGTTTTTACTGTAGTTATACAATTCTGACCTACATAAGAATAAACAAATTCACTATGAAATGAAGTTTACAGATCATATGTATTAAATATCAAAACAACTTAGTTTAATATCTCTTTATAACATTCTAGATGTAAAAAAGAAATATTTAAGTAAATGAGATATCTGGAAGGTGAATTAATAAACAACTACTTTTTATCTGTACGATATTTCCAAGTTGCACAAATATAAAGGAATCGATATTCAATAAATCTACAGTATCAAATTTTAAATATTTACGCTGCATCGATAAATACGTTTGTTCTAATTTACTATTAAGATATATCTGAATCTATTATAAATTAAGGTTGATTGGATATGTTAGATTTTGTGTACATATGGACATTCAACACTTTTTTTGAGCAATGATGAATAGTGGCTAGCAGTGGAATCCAAGACGCGCGTTTCGTCCTATTAGGGATTCGTCAGCTGGATGTACCTGCATCTCAGAGTTGGCGTTCACTGTGGGACTCGAACTCAGCACCATCCGCTTCAAACGCCATCGCGTTATCCACTCTGCTACTGAGTCCTGATAGCCACTTGCTTGTGAAATGGGGTGAATTTAAATTCACTTAATATTGTTTGGCTTGTATCTTCCTATTGAGTCCCAAAATAGAACGAAACGCGCATCCTCGATTCCACTGCTAGCCACTATCCATCATTGCCTATTATACAATATTTGTTCAAAAGATTCACTTAACAACTTTATACATACTATTTCGATTTTTATTAATAAATATTGATTTTATAATTCATAGAAATGAATTTAATTATGTAACTGAATATTTATTCAATAATTAAAATAGGAAACTTTATAATTTATTTTAATTACAGAAGTCTAAATCAATAATACAACCTACAAAATGTACATATGATTTTCCAACTAAACGACTTTTATTAATGCGTGAATCTAAGGATCGACATCAAAAAGGTAAATGTTATTACGATTAATTTAATTTACATTTGAATACAAATTGTTATTTATTATTAAATAGATCGAGTAATTATCATTTAAAGATCCCAATCATTATTAAAAGACTAATATTTGAACAAAGAATATTCTTTTCGATAAATTCTCTTCAGGTTCTACAATTCATATATATCCAAATTAATAATCCGAAAGAAAATGGCCAAGTTAAGGGCAACATATATCGTTTAAAGTATGTGAATTTAGTATTGTTAAACAAAATAGAATAAAATTGTTCATTTTGATATGACTCAGATAGAATGTTAACTTGAACCTGCGTATATGTTAAGTGAAATTTAAGATCCATGATCAAAATAAATATGGGTCAGATAGAGTAGAGAAATAATAGTACAATTACAATCCGGTCATATGATATATGGTGGCGCAACTTCATGGATTGGTTGAAGTTAGACATTGACACTGTTGGATGCCGGCTCAGTGGTCTAATGGTTGGGTGCTGGCGCGCGAAGCCAGTAGGTCCTGGGTTCGAATCCCGCGGGGTGCGGGATCGTGGATGCGCACTGCTGAGAAGTCCCGTACTAGGACGAAACGGCCGTTCAGTGCTTCCAGCTTTTCAATGGTGGTCTAGCTTCAATCGACTCATGATTTCAATCTGTAAAAATTTCTAAAATCTCCACAAACCCCTTCTGATAATCCAGTCATATATTTAGTGAAAAGCTATATTGTGTGAAAAATTAGTACGACGTAATAAGGAGGGATGAATGCGAAGTGAATGAATCATGTATAGGGGAGATTAACAATGATGTTTAACCATTAGTAATAATAATAATAAAGATTTGTGAATAAAGATAACAGAAACAATTACAATGGACTAAGAAAGGTAGTAGTCAAATTAGTTCATTCCATAGCTAAGATTACTATTGATTAATTGGCCTTGATGTTGGCCAGGGGAGGAGGAATGGTTGAAGATATTTCTTCTGTACACATAGCTCCAGTTTTTTCATCCGGATGGCTATTGCTTCAGCCGTTGAAAGGACTTTAAATCTGACAAGTTTTAGCGAAATCTACTGACCTTATAAATAATTGAAAAATATTGGTTTATACTGGCACTATGACCAATTTGTACTAAATGGGCCAATATCGAACTGTTCACTTTCTTCATCAAACCTTTGTTTAGCCACGCTGGGAAGTGTTCACGATCACGAAAAGGTAAATTTCGGATTATTAATTTGAATATATAATTGTAGAACCTGAAGAGAATTTATCGAAAAGAATATTCTTTGTTCAAATATTCGAGTAATTATCATTTAGATTTTCACTTAAAATCCATTTCACGTTGTAATTTCATATTCATAATGACTTTGATTTACATCAATGATTTCTTAATATGTTTCACGAATATGTGTTAATCGTCGTTTTACTAATATACTCAAAATATTTTTTATGTATTATTTTGGATGATGATTGTCTTTTTTTACAAACGTGGAAAGTTTTGTTACCTATTTACAATAACACTATTTGATTGTAGAGAGTGTTGAGTTTCATTGAAATCATGAATTGATTTACGTTTGACGACCGTCTGATGTTTTCAAGTTTTCAATAGTGATTTAAGTTAGATGGGTTCATGATTTTCGTCAATTGCGTTCTATAGTATCTCAACCTAATTGTTATACCTTGAGAAATCAACAGAGTATGTACAGTTGTAATTCAGGCGGTGTTTTGTTCTCTGAGCTGAATAACTTGGTCGTGGAGCTTTCATCGTTCTTTTGAACAACATTATTTGCACAAACTTCACGTAGAAGTGAAGTGTTCGAATTTCTTTACATATGACTCGATCTTCATTGGTTATTGTTGATCTTGAACCTGTCGTTGTTTAATATTTTATTTAGATCGCGTCTCCCATTGATGTGATTCTTTGTCCCACGTTTGTTTTGACCTGAGTGCCAAGCTTTTAAAAATCGCTTTGTGCTTTTGGTATTCCCTCTATCCAAAATCTCAACATTTTCTCAGTCGAATGTGTGTCCACAGTTGTCCACATGCATCAATTAGCAATCAAACGCCATAACATATCCTCGCTGATACAGCAATGTGTGTGGAAAACTGTGGACACACATTCGACTGAGATGTTGAGATAATGGATGGAGGCGATTCTTAAAACACCAGAGAATTTTTCGAAGCTTGGCACTCATGTCAGGACAAACATAGGACCAAAAATCAAATCAAAGGGAGACACAATCATAATAAAGAAGCAGACAATGACGGATTAAAGGTCAACAATAACCAATCAAGATCGACGTCTACAGGACGAGCTGTGAGTCATATGTGGGGAAATTCGAACACTTCACTTCTACCTGAGGTTGGGCTGATGTTGTTCAGAAGAACAATGAGAGCTCCACAAACAAACCATACAGTTCAGAGAACAAAATTCCACCTAAATAATCCAATTGAGCTACAAATTTCCACCATCTTACAAATGTATTTTAATTTTTAGGAATATTCAGTTCACTTATTTTTAGTGTTTTATTCACTGTAGACTAGACTGCAGATTACTGGGTCAGTATGCTATCGGTCATTTATTTTAATTCAACAGGAAATGGATAATTAATATGTATCAATTCTCATTCACTGTATAATTCAGTGTTATAAAACGTCGATAAACTATGTTTTCAGAAAGAGATGATATTCATGGAACTTACAAACGACTATAGAACTGTTAATCATTGAATATCATTACTGATTGATGTGCATTTAAAAAAAAATAGTGCATCTACTATTTATGATCACTATGACTACTTTTATTAACGTTTCTGTATGTTCATATTTGGTATTCTCATATTTCTTAGATTAAGTAGACAATTGAACAGTTCCATATTTTATTAGCTGAGATCATGCGTCAATTGAAGCTGAACCACTATGGAAAACCTGGAAGCACTGGACGGCCGTTCCGGCCTATTGTGGGATAGTAACTCACTGAAGACAGTGGTGGATTTGTCGTTCAATTTCGTGGATTAGTTGAAGTTAGACATTAACACCGTTGGATGCTGGCTCAGTGGTCTAGAGGTTAAGCGTTCGTGCGCTACTGACAGTTCCTGGGTTCGAATCTCGCGAGGCGGGAATGTGGACGCGCACTGCTCAGGAGTTTCAAAATAGAATGAAACGGCCGTTTGGTGCTTCCAGATTTCTCACAGTGGTCTAGCTTTAATTGACTCATGATCTTAAATATTGAAACTACTATAATATTCACAAAAACTTCTGATATTAATCAATGTATGCTCACTAGTGACTGGCTTCAAGATAGATTTCCTGGAGTTCTAGTGAGAAGCAGTAAAATTAGACAAAATTAATTTACAATTTAAATATATTGTTTTAGCTTAGGTGTTTTGTGAATATAATACAATAATCTATTCTGATAATGAATATATAATGTACACTAACATATAAATATGATAATAATACCAAGATAATTTGACACTTTTCCAAAAGACTTGATTTCTAGTCTATTTCAAATGGAGCATTCGAAACGTAATTGTTAGTGTAATGAAGTGTATTCTGAATAGGTAAGCATAAATGCAATGATTTGACAGTAAAACATCACTAGTTGTATACACTTCGCGATAATAATAAGCTTGACAAGAGTATATCTGTCATCAACATACAAAATGTAATCTTATGATAGCGTGAATAGATGACATAAATGAATCATTTTATGGTAAATGGTATATCTTACCTATTCAAGGTATATGAAACATTCTAAGATCTAGAAAATCCTGTTTGTTTGTTCGCATCGTTTTATGGGGGGCATTGTGACTGTTTAAAACGTAAGTAAGCTGGAAAAAAGTAGTATAATGGATTCAGTTTTTTAAAGAAAGTCCAGTGTCTTGATGTTGTAGTGACAGGTTGAGGTTAAAATGGAAATACGAAACTAATTGGAAAGTGTTCAGCTTCAATTGAACATATTCTTTTTTCATACTTTTTTAATATTTCACAGGGTGCGGAATTGGTATGCGCATAGTTGGTGGACATATTCGATCAGATGGTAATTTAGGAGCATTTGTTGAAGAAATTTATCCATCTGGTCCAGCTGATCAACTTCATGGAGAGATAAAAGAAGGTAATTTGCATACATAAATTTAGAATTATTTATCTGTTTCATTTATTTACTTTCGTTGCAAAGTACGATGAAGAAGTGAAAAGAGGAAGTGATGAAGTTGAAATAAATATTTTTATAGGGTATGCAAAAGTTATTTATGAACCATTGCTTAACGATAGATATTCATCATTTCTTGATACAGATACATTATGTTGTAATCCTTAAATGTATGGATTTATAATCATCTCAGCAAATGTATTTTTTCTCAGTTAGATGCAAGATTCATGGTAAAGAAACTAAGTTGTTTGACGTTTCTAAATTCATCAAACGATACAGTCAGTCAGTTTAAGAAAAATAGTCGTACAATCTAATGGAACAGCTAAAACGTAGAAAGACTTTCCGTTTGTGTGTGTGTGTGTGTGAAAAGAATGGGTGAGCTATGAATGTAACATGCTGAAACAAGATTTTAAAATGTAATCTAGTGGCATGATCTGTTTTCTCTAGGAAATATTCTTTGCCAAATTGTTCAACTAAAGGTAGAAGGAAACTGTGATTTTTTTTCAACATTTCAAGTAAGAACACTGATCTATATTATCTTAAAATGGTTCATCTACGAACCATGAAACTTTTGGTTGTATTGTCATTATGGATTTGTGGAGATTGTTAAATTTCATGGAAATCACTAACAAATCCATGTTAGACAACCGTCGAAAGCCTGGGAGAACTAAAAAGCCGATTCATTTTAGTATGCGACTTCTCAACACTGCACATACACAACCGCACAGCTGAGAGTCGACTTCAGGAAATTTAGTCTCAAAAAGTAGCCCAAACGTGATAGATACATCTTTTGTGCATTACCCTCTAGATCCCATTAGTTTTATTATCTCTTAGTCCATTTTTTGTATCCTTGTTTGCTCAGTTCTCCAGTTGAATTTAAAATTTAACTTTTTTAGTTCTTGCCATCACTTAAATACTATATTCACTTTACTCGAGATTTTGAATTCATGTCTATTTGTTTACATAACGTATTAAACGATCTGAATGTAGTAAGAAATGCAATATAAGCGAATATTTCTTTTCATCCAAGATAATGATGGATTTTTTTCGTTAAAACTGATGGGGTTTTAGCATCACGGTTGTAACATTACATCACTGACTGACAATAATCATAAAATCCTTGAAGGCAACAGGGAATTATAAGATGATGAAAAATATTTATAATACAGTATGAGAACTTTGGTGTGGTAGGCTCTGAGCTAGATAGATTGATTTTGAGGCTTTTACTGTTCTTCTGAACAACATTATCATTACTTACTTCAAAATGAAGTATGCTATTAGAATTTTTCCACAATTGATCAACTGCTTGTTCTGTTGACTTGATATTCGATTGGTTACTATTCATAACCATGTGGTCTTTTCCTATATATTCGCTTCGGTCGTTTTCTCTCATATCCCGAACTCTAACATTGTAATTGTTAATCATTTTTCTTACTGGATGACAGAGTTAGTTAGTTTTAATATTCCTATTGATTGAAGTTAGATTAATCCTTTTTTGATAAATTTGTATAGTATAATAAAAAGATGAAGATTATCACAACGATATGATAATTTAGTGCAGTATATTTCAAATAATCTGATCACGCATAAACAGGCTTGTTAAGAACACTTATGTATGAAAAATTAAGAATATCAACTTGATTAATGAAAGATAAGAGAGAACAAAAGTAATTAAGAAAAATAATGTGAAAAACAATATGAAATTCATCACTCTGAATAATAAAACAATATTACAAGGGTAAGTTTAGGATGAGATCAGACTGTTTTCATCATATAGTTCTAATAATCTTCATCTTATTGGTCGCGATCAGTCTCGCGTGAGACTGATAGGTCCTGGATTCGAATCTCGCGGGCTGTGGGATCGTGGATGCGCACTGCTCAGGAGTTCCATACTAGTACGAAACGGCCATCTAGTGCTTCCAGGTTTTCCATGATGGTCTAGCTTCAACTGACTCATGAAGTCAACTATTAAATTACTATAATGTCCACAAAAACCCTTCTCTGATTATTATCGATAATAGTTATGAATCTAAAAAATCTTTGATCTTTGAATGATTGTAAATAAATTTTGAAATAGTATCTGTTGAATGAATAAGAACCATTAACATACTACTACTGTGGTGCGTGCTACTTATATTGATATAAGTAATATGTGACGCGAGTCAGGAATGTAATGTCTGGGGGCAGAAGATGGGGAAGATCAAGAAAGGAAGAGAGGGAAGAGAAAGCAATTAGTATGGAAATGCAAGAACAACGAAGTTCGAGACAATTATTGAACATTTCGCAAATTAAGTATTATAGTATGGTTTTTCTTTTTCACCAAGTAACTCTGTAATTTTGGGATAAATAAATTCGGCTGTCCTCACCTGTGTTCTCCTTCACTACACTACTACTACTACTACTACTACTACTACTCTCTTATTAATATGCTTCTCGTTATACTGGTAAATCATTTGATATCAAGCAGTTTTATTCTTCTCATTTAGAATAATGAACAGTCTATGAAACTGTTTATCAGACTTTCGTTTCAAATCTATTCATTTACTTGATAGAAGAGATGATTCAATACAGATTGAATTTTGTTTCATTTTAAATCTATTCATATAGGTGATGAAATACTTGAATGGAATTCAATTCCTTTAGTCGGCAAGACATTTGAAGAAGTACAAGCTATCATTAGTCAAGTTTCTGAAGAAACAGAGTTACTTGTCAGAGCGTAAGTTTATGTATGTACCGATGTATATTTCAATTACTAATTTAGTTAATGGTCATTTTTTATTTGTTCGTTTCACTGAGACATTACTTTAACATTTTATACAATAATTTCAAAGCATTCTTTAATTACATGGAGTTATAGTTGTTTTAAATTATATTCACTTGCAAAGAGTATATTCTGAGGGGAAACACGGATTTATTCACTTCCTTTTTCACCTTTCACCCTTCCTAAAGCATAGGCCATTGACTACGATACTCCGCCCAACTCTTTTCTGGTCTCTCCTTTCCAATTATTCACATGAGCTGTTCATTCTTTTGATTTATGCCTCCGATTCCCCGTGCAATGTGTTTTTTGCCCTACTTTTGTCGTTTACCCTTCAGGATTCCAAGTTAGAGCCTGCTTAGAAATACGCATAAGATCCTACTAAGTTCATATCCAGTGCATTAGATTTCAATAATTCCTAAACTACTAAGTTATATTATTAAATATGTTGTTAAGATTAGTATTTTCTGAAGGTGATTTTTGTTATTTATTGACACTGAGCATGTTCGTAGATACAGACTACCCAGTTGAGGTATATACAATAAACCTGAATGATGGTTGGTAACTTAGGGGTTTTATAGTTCAACATCAGTGACGATAAAGTGGCTGAACTTACTATTTATAGTACTTTAGATCTTGAGTTAAGGCATCTCTTCATCCATACTTTTCCACTTCGTATTTTCGAATGATATTCTTAATGTACAGCTCTTCTCACTGTCATTAGTTAGGCAATGACTTCTAGACCTTTAATATTCTCGTCGTGTTGATTCGGTATGAAAAACTCAGTTAGCTGATATTTGTTTCACGATGTGTAGTGATTATAACTGTCTCCCTAGCTGATAATATATAGAAGACAGGACAAACTAGAATTTTATTTCTTCCTAATATACAACTCTTCATCACTACACAACTACGATCCTCACAGGTAGATATACGTTTATTTTCCTACAATCTTTTCTCAGTTTCAGCAAGACGAATATAACTAATCTCCAAGATCGATCAAACCCAGTCTACTAATCACAACAAACTTAGTCACAATGATTTCATTGTAACATAAGTCTTCATAGAAATGCAAACACTATTTAATGAATAGTAGGACTCGTTATTGTTTGTACAAGTACTTAAACTTTTATCTCCTCTTTCATGAAACGGTCGTTAGTTTTTAAAGAGAAGCTTGTTTACGTCAATAACTGAAACAAAGACCTTCGATAATATGCTCCAGATGTAGAGTGAACTGTTTCTTCAAATGCAAATTATAAATCATATGTAAATAATAAGGCTTACTTTTTGATATTATCTTGTATAGCTAAACTGTCAATACCCTAATGTGTGTGTATGCTTGTGGAAACCTTCACGGTATTCGCAACAGATCTTAACCACTTTCTATACGGTTATGAAACTCATGAAATTTATAAAGATAGTAATGTTTCTAATAGTTTAAATTTATTTATTTCCTTTTGTATTAAAAGTAAACTATCTCAATCACTTTTACTCCACTTTTGAGTTAAAACTTGTAGTCATACTATCACATGGTAGATTTCAAAACCAAAAAAAGAATATAGAATGGTCATTGATCATTAACTAACGATCATTTCAATGATAAATGTTTTATCGCTTAGTGATATCGTGACGTTATTGAATATTCTCTTTATACTTATTAAATATAATACATCAGTTATGTTTTAAAGATTGATTAATGCATGACGGAACGCGATAAATCATATAACTCATAAACTTGTTTATATTTATGTGAGGTTTTTTTAAAAATTGATCTTCAGAATGCAACAAATTCAAAATTATAACCTCAGATAGATAATAAATATTGAATAACTTTATATATACATCTTACTTCAGTACATATAAGATACATATATGGCTAAATCTTAGGAAAAACTATATTTTTGATTGAGATCATGAACTGACTGATGTTAGACCACCGTTGGAAACCTGACCGTCCAGTACTTCCAGGTTTCCAACGGTGATCTAACATCAATCGGTTCATGATCTCAATCAAAAAATTCATAATCTCCACAACCCTTATACTGAAAACTATATTTGCATAAACATTTCTAAAGAAAATCATTCAACTAAATATATTAGTCATAACAAATAAGAGTATAAGGTTTGCTATTAATCTGTTAACTTACATTTTACTAGTCATTATTAGTTATATTTTAATTTAACTAACAATTGCGAGTACAGTTTTGTCATTAGTCAGTCTTTGAAAAAAACAAAAATTGTAATATTAACATAAGTTGCTTACAAGTTATATGGAAGAGAAATTGGATAATCTGACAATTAATACTCATCATCATTTCTAAGATGTTATGCCTATGAAATGTTTAACTGACTTGAGATTGGTACTGAAAAACCTCAATCCAAACAACGCCTAGTTTAAACACAAAGACTGTTGATACGTATTTAATGACCTCATAAAGAAATTAGAATGACACTACTTTTTATGTGATTTACTTACAATCAGATTAACACTCAGATATTATGGTTAGGTGTAGGTTGGAAGAGAGCTAGGGGCGCCCAGACCCAAACATGACACAAATCCATGAAGTCACTGACAAGTGGACCGAGCCATGTTGGCAGGTGTAGACTACCTGCTTAGGATTTGCGAGACGATGGCAACCGATGGTTAGAGACCTTGAATGATATGGCTCAAAATCGTTTGCAGTAGTGCACGTGCATCTACTCTTTGTGTTCTCTCAAATTCTAATCTTCTGAATTCTTCATGCCCTTTTTTTGTCTTTCCAAATTTATTTCACTGGATTATAGTCCTTTAATAAAATCTTCAAACCATAATGTTCCCGATTACTGCTTATACTTTTACTACCTCCATGACAATGGGATTTGAATCGACAATTGTATCCCTGTTCTAATGTAGTATGGCAACTCGAACTGATGTACGTACATACGAATTTCTACGTCGTTAGTGACTGACTAACTGAATAGTATTGTGGTGTGTGCTATTTACACGGTCACATATAGGTAATATGGATCAAGAAGTAACAATTGGACTCTTACTGATAGAAAAGGAATATGAAGAGTAGAGAAAAAAACAGCAGCAGTTCCAGTAGCAATAGTAATCGAAGATCGATAGAGCTTGTAGGAGACAATTCAAAGACATATTTTTAACGTCATACTGATTAATTCTCATATTGGTTTCTCATCCTCTCATGTCAGTAATGACTAATAAAGGTAATACTTCACGAAATGTAAGTCGATCATTTGAGAATAAAGACAACTGTAAAAACGCATATTTCAATATGCTTTTTATTATGTACTAATATAAACTGTGAAACAACTAATAAGATAAAAATCACTAAAACTCTTTAGTGACATTAAAAAACAATCCAGTAGAATATATAACCTATAATCTTTAAGCATAATTCATCAAAGAATGTGCTAAATCACATACATTAAAAGAACAGAGAGAATTGTTCATGTTCGCATTTCTAAGCATGTTCTAGAAAATTCGAAGCCCGAAGATATCAGAGCCCTAAAAAATGTAACATCTTGACATTTTTAATCAATCATGGGCATATTATTGTTCAGAAAGAGATTGTTAGTAATTCATCATCACCACAGCAAATTCACAAGTTTGATTCAAATCATCTTTAGTTAAATGGAACATAATTTATCCTTTTTGTTTTGACAAGATTCAGTATCGTTCAATTTCTCAAGCATTACACTACATTATAAGTTCGAAATTTATTGAATTCTTTTAACAATAATTTTTATTTCTAACCTTATCAGTCAGTCAGCTACAACGTAGGACCAGGCACATATATGCATCGGTTCAAGTTGCCACACATTATTAGCACAGCAAGACGAACACCGGATTCATAGAAGCAGTTAACTCAATGGTGTGATATATAAAAAAAGATTTTATGTGAGGATATAGTACAGAAAGATAGAATTAGTTGGTAGAAAGAAAGATATGAAATAATTCTAATCTCATAGCTGAAGGGAAGACAGAGAGTGTATACACCTACGCCATTGTGATTGATTCTGAGCCATGTCACTAAGAGTCTCCAACCATTGGCTACGATAGTCACGCGGATCCCAACCAGGTAGTCTGCATCTACCAACATGACTCAGACCAGAAGTTAGTGACCTCAAGCACTGATGCCATATTTTGGTTTGGCCGCTCCTAACGTTCCTCCAGCCATCTCCAACACTAGTGAGCATTGCACGACGTAGTAATTGGTGTCCAGGCATACGCAACGCGTGACCCAACCGTCTCAGTCGATGTAGGTTCACAACCTCATCAACTGATTTACCATCATTCCCTAATACCCTGCGTCTAACCTCACTATTACTTACGCGGTGATCCCAGCAGACTCCAGCAATATTTCTAAGGCATCTGTGGTCAAATACTAGTAGCTTACGGGTGTCTTCTACTCTTAAGGGCCATGTTTCGCTGCCGTAAATTAAAACAGAACGAACAGCCGTGCAGTATACTCGCCCCTTAATTGATGGACAGATATCTCACCTTCGCCATAGGTGACGTAAGTTATCAAAAGCCAAAAGACGTTCCTGAATCCATGCAGAGATTTCGTTAGACACCAACCCATTAGGGCTGATCAGACTTCCAAGATAAGTGAAGTTGTCGACGCGTTCGACTACTTCACTCCCTATCCTTAGTTCAGGTGTTGACGCAGACCAGTCCTGGATCAACATTTCGCGTTTGAGGACGAGAAACGCACCCCAAACACCCTGGCATTGTTGCTCAGTGCTATTAAAAGACCCTGCATTTTATCAGCGTCTTCACCTAACAAGACTACGTCATCTGAAAATTCCAAGTCGATAAGTGGACCTCCTGGAAGGAGATCAATGCCCGAAAATTCAGTAGATGTGAATTTTATTTCCATCAGTAGGTCTATGATGAAGTTAAACAAAAATGGAGAAAGCGGATAGCCTTGACGGACATCATTTGAGGTTGCAAAATCAGATGACAGTTCGCCATAAGCTCTTACTCAACTATTAGTTTTCGAGTAAAGAGCCTTCATATGGTTTATGTACTTCTGAGGTACGCCTTTCAATGATAGACACTGCCACAGAATCTCGCGGTCTGCAGAGTCAAATGCTGCTTTTAAGTCAAGAAAGACCACCATTGTAGGACGTCGATAAGTATGCCTGTGTTCTAGAACCTGACGAATGGTGAATTTGTGGTCGGTGCAGCCACTACCAGGTCTGAAGCCAGCTTGATTTTCTCGTGTTTGCAGTTCTAACCTTATCAGTTGTATTGGTTAAAGCTTCTAATTGAAAATTTAAAGAGGAGAATAATTTAACAAGTCACTAATGCGTAATGAACTGATCCACAAAATTGTAGATGTTTCTTTTTTTCGAGTCTGAATTCAATCAGTTTTTATCTAAGTCCTATGATTATATATACGCATATAATTCAAAACGTTTAAGTATACGAAATAAGTCACAAAAAAACCATTCGAACCTACTTGCATTGTTTATCATTATGTTTGTTTCTCCTTATTAAATAATGAAAGCCTTTTGATTTAACCCACAAATAAAAAGTAAGATTCAACCAAGTAGATATTTGTTTCACGTAAAAGAAAGAAAATGAGGTGAAAAAAATGAAAGAGATTATAACAAAGAAATATGACTAAAGTATAAAGCTGTCTATTCTTAACGACCTTAATACTCTCCTTTTTTTACATATAAAGTGACCTTATTTCAGTGTAAAGCAATGAAAATGGGTTCCAAGTTAAATCATTACAAAAGAGGGAATTCATTCATTCTTTTTTTGAAGCGTTTATTAGGAAGTGGAGAGAGAACAAAATCTTGTTAAAAAGCGATAAGGTGAAGTTCACATGGTGTATTTAAAAAAAACTAACCTCAGAAACATTATTCATCCTCATTGTGTTTAGAAACTGAATTGATGTTTTGTTTTGAGCAGTGTATTGTGTATTGAATCGAAACTATTGGAATTTTGAACATGTATATAGAAATATAGGTGGTTTATGCTGTGATATACCTTAAATTTTAGGTGGATGAAGGTGGTCAACAGGAAAACCTTGGATCTAGGTTATGCACGTTTTGGCAACCATCAGCAACATATACTTGTAATCTGATACTTTCTGAACCCACTTCTTGTTGTTTCACTTTTTAAGACGTGTAGACGATGTCGAGTTATTTGGACCACTAGCTAAATTGAAACCTTATCGACGGAATTCATTCAGCATTATGAAGAACTAAACAAATATGATATTTAATTCAATTTGAAATGGCATGGATATGGCATTATTAATATGTTTGACTGAAATTTGATCAATCTTGATTGGTCTATGGACATCTTGTGCGGATTGCTCTGATACAGCCATTATCATATAAATTAATATAGAATATATTGGTCGAATGGACTAATAAGTCTAAACCAAAAATATCAAGAACGAGATCATTCAATTTATTTCAAATTACATCCAATCTCACAACCGATGCACAGGTATGTGGCTATCTGTTTCAGTGACTAAGCGAAAAACGCGATGATATTATAAGCAAACTGTTATGGGTTCGAGCTCCGGAGTGAACATCAACTCTGGGTCGTAGCTAACGAGTCCCAAACAGTACAAAACACAAGTCTTGGCTTACACTGCTAGCCCAATTCCATCTATCTAATCTAAACATGATATTAATCAGTATTTAAAACTCTACCAGTTGCATGAAGCGTTAATAAAAAATAAATGATATGATATAAAGATTGTTATATATTTTATTTGATTATTGACAGAGATTATACCCAAGGTGATGATGAGGATGATGAAGGTGAAGATGATGGTGAAGAAATAGAAGATGATGAAGATGAAGAGTATGATGAAGAATATCTTGATGATGACGATGATGATGAAGATGCAACATCTTTAATGAAGACTTGTGGTTCAGGATCAACTGGGAATAGTGGACAAACTAATCGAACACGTAAATGATATTATTTTAAAAACTATATTGTCTTTTCTTGATATTGTTTTACTTGAATTTTCCCATTGATGTTTTTGGACTGAAATTGATCAGTCTCTTATTGGCATATGTGCATACTGTGCGTATGCCTCGATATTGCCTAAATTTACAAGCATTATAAGCAAAGATGGATAGTGGCTAGCAGTGGAATCCAGGACGCGCGTTTCGTCCTGTTTGGGACTCGTCAGCTGGATGTACCTGCATCTCAGAGTTGATGTTCACTCTGGGACTCGAACTCAGTACCGTTCGTTTCAAACGCCATCGCGTTATCCACTTAGCTACTGAGTCCTGATAGCCACTTGCTTGTGCAATGGGTTGAAGTTGAATTCACTTGATATTGTTTTACTTGAATTTTCCCATTGATGTTTTTGGACTGAAATTGATTTAGGCAATATCGAAGCATACTCACAGTATGCACATATGCCAATAAGAGACTGATAAATTTCAGTCCAAAAACATCAATGGGAAAATTCAAGTAAAACAATATCAAGTGAATTCAACTTCAACCCATTGCACAAGCAAGTGGCTATCAGGACTCAGTAGCTAAGTGGAAAACGCGATGGCGTTTGAAGCGAACGGTACTGAGTTCGAGTCCCAGAGTGAACATCAACTCTGAGATGCAGGTACATCCAGCTGACGAGTCCCAAACAGGACGAAACGCGCGTCCTGGATTCCACTGCTAGCCACTATCCATCTTTGCTTATATATTGTCTTTTGTTTGAGGAATTTTTGACATGAAATCAAAATATCAATTTCATAAATATTTAGATTTTGTGTAGATTATACAAATGAAAAATGGTAACATGTTTTATTCATCGGAAAATTTATTGAGTCAGTCAGTCAGTCAGCTACAACGTAGGACCAGGCACATGTATGCATCGGCCCAGGTTGCCATACCCCATTAGCACAGCAAGATGAACACCGGATTCGTAGGAATGGTTAGGTCAAAGGTGGTAATATATAGGAGAAAGATTGCAATAAGGATATAGTATAGGAAGAAAGAATTAGTTCGTAGAAAGAAAGATGTGAAGTGATCTTAATCTCGTAGTTAAAGGGAAGACAGAGAGTGTATACACCTACGCCATTGTGATCGATTCTGAGCCATGTCACCAAGGGTCTCCAACCATTGGTTACGAAAGTCACGCGGACCCCAACCAAGTAGTCTGCATCTACCAACATGGCTCAGACTAGAAGTTAGTGACTTCAGGCACTGATGCCACGTTTTGGTTTGGCCGCCCCTAACTTTCTTCCAACCATCCCCTACACCGGTGAGCATTGCACGTCGCGGTAATCGGTGTTCAGGCATACGTAATACGTGGCCCAACCATCTCAGTCGATGAAGATTCATAACCTCATCAACTGATTTACCATCATCCCCTAATACCCTGCGTCTAACCTCACTATTACTTACGCGGTGATCCCAGCAGATTCCAGCAATATTTCTAAGGCATCTGTGGTCAAATACTAGTAGCTTACGGGTGTCTTCTACTCTTAAGGGCCATGTTTCGCTGCCGTAAATTAAAACAGAACGAACAGCCGGGCAGTATACTCGTCCTTTTATTGATAGACGGATGTTTTTTTAAATCAGAACTGACAATTAATAAAGGAAAATAGAGTGACAAAATGTTCGGGTTTAGTTAGACAGTTTCACTGTTATAAAAGCCTTATGTATGAAAAGTAGTAATGATATAAAATATACATATATAAGTGTTTGGGTTACCAATGATGAGTAAGGGTTGGATGACAATTTTACGATGTGACGCTTTTTTCTCATGGATGTTTCAAAGAAACATGTTTTGATACAGTGAACTGATTTCTAACTGTACAAAGATTGTGTTCATATTAATTCAGTCAGTAGACCCTCATGGACATGTTTTAACAAAAATTTAAAAATGTCTTGAGTTTTTTTAAATCACTTCTTTGATCTAAATGGATAACTGAACATAACTTTGAGTATATTGAGAGTTTGATCCGTGATGGGTTCAAGGGTGTACATTTCTGAGGTATTTTATATTGTAGGACAAAAGTTATTGGTTCCTTTTCAGTGATATCACAGTTGAGATCAGTTGATGACTCAGAAAGAAACGTATTATTTGGATTGCTAAAAAATTAACTGATTGAAATCACGAGTCAATTGAAGCTAGACCAACATGGGAAACCTGGAAACAGTGAAAGGCCTTTTCGTTCTAGTATGGGACTCCTCAGCAGTGCGCATCTACGATCCCGCACCCCGCGAGATTCGAACCGAGGACTTATCACTCTCGCGCCAGGCGCTTAACCAACCAGACCACTGAGCCAGCATCCAACGGTGTTAGTGTCTAACTTCAACCAATCCGCAAAGTTGTGCCACCGTACAAAATTGTCATCAGTGAGTTGATACCTCACAACAGACCTGGTTGAACTCCACTGGTAACGGCTTCTCACTAGAACTCCTTGAAATGCTTCTTGAAGTCAGTCACCAGTGAGCAGATGAGGAGTCTCATACTGAGACGAACCGGCCATTCAGTGCTTCCAGGTTTTCTATGGTGGTCTAGCTTCAATTGACTCATCATTTCAATCAGTGAACTTTCTAAAAATCTTCACAAAACCCCTTCACTTAAGAAAAATGTCCGAAATTCAAATGTTATTGTAGTACATCTTGATGGATATGGTCTGGAGTCCTATACTATCTATTAAGGTTTATTTATAAATACCAAACAAAATGTTTACAGTTTTGAATTACTCAAATCATTATCGATTTATTTTATAGGTTGAGATTATATTTTTTAAGTTTATCTACTCTTCACTTATTTCTAAATTGCGCCAACTCAATTTGATTGAATTAATTCCTTTTTGAAACTTCTATTTCATTGGTTCTACTTAAGCCCACTACTCTTTAATTAATTCTTTTATTCTACTCACTTTTCTTACATTCTTATCTATTCTTATCTTATTGTTTTGGTTAGTCATTTTACATGATCAATTTTTTCCCTCTTATAAATGTTAACTTATTCATTTTCATTATGTTCGATGAAATTCTACTTTATCTTTTTTCGTTTTCAATCAATCAGATGCCTTATGTCATCATCATGCAGCACAACATGCATTAATGAATCAATCAAAAGGTCCACCAATTTGTCCACATATACGTCAGCATTATTTATCTATGCCATCAAATGATCATAGATCAATGAGTCAAGTTGCACATAGTTCACATAAATTACATTCAACAAATGAACAACAAATACAAGAGGAAGATATTGAAGAAAGTAGATTAACACTAAATAATAACACTATGAATTGGTTTGAATCAAATTCTCCTAAAAAATCTATTAATCAATTATCACCATCAACTGTACAAGATTCAAAATATACTAAACTGTCAAATACTTCTGATAGTGATAAATTAAATAATAGTAGAAGATCATCTAAAGGAGGCCGTGTAAATGGACCACGTGGAAGTCGATCGGTAAGCTAAACAAAAATATTCACTTTTACATTGAATATTTTTCTGTGAGATTCTATGACAGGTAGGATGTAACAGTACTGTGTTTAACTATATAACTAAACAACTTAAATTTAAATATTTCAGAGTAGACTTCATTTTTCCAAGATGAAAAGCATAATTAAATATATAATCCTGAAGATTATACAATACAATTGGATAAAGTACAAATAGCAAAGTTCTCTGAAACTTACACTTATCAATTATTGAAATTACTAAAATCTCCACAAAACCCCTTCTGATAATAATCATCTGCTCAGTAGTGACTGACATCAAGAGGCATTTCCTGGAATTCTAGTAAGAAGCCGTGACCAGTGGGATTCAACCAGGTCTCTTGTGAAATATCAGCTCACTGAAGACAATGGTGGGCGGTGGTGCAATTTCGTGGATTAGTTGAATTTAGGCATTAACACCAATGGATACCAGTTAAGTGGTCTGGAGGTTAAGCGCTCGTGTGCCAGACTGACAGGTTTTGAGTTCGAATCTCACGAGGTGGGATCGTAGATGCGCACTGCTTAGGAGTTCCATAATAGGGCGAAACGGCTGTCCAGTTCTTCCATGTTATCCATGGTGGTCTAGCTTCAATTGACTCATGATCTTGACCATTGAAATTCAATTATTACTTTAAATGACCTGAATAAATGTTATCTCAACCATAACATCTTCCTTTTTTTATGATTGATCAGATCTAGCTACATTTCTAAACAACTTTTCTAGTAATTGATTTTTTCAGATCAAATATTATTTAAGTAAATCGATATGTTTACTATCAGTAGTATGTTAGATATTTATAATTATTCTTTTTATAAAGTCTAAATGTAAACATTTGAATCTGAAAAGCAACAACAAAAATATCTTAAAAACTTAATTACATAACTAATCAAGTCTATTTCAGGTATAGTATTTCTCAACTATTTTGTTGTTCACTCTATCAATTTCGACTACATAAAGGATTCTACTGAATAAACTGACATGATCATCAAATGTTTAGGAAATTATTTTAAAGTGACTATTTACGCTGATGCTTTAGGAAACTCTACAAATATATTAGACCCATTTGAAACAATCATTAACAATTTGATATCATAATTCAGTCAACAATCAGTAGATCATAACTAGTTCATAAACATTTAAAATGATAGTCTGTTTAGTTAGTCTATCACGTTGATTGAAGCAATCACATGAATATCTAAAATACATCCATCTGTACAAGATAACATCTAACTGCCTAAACAAACTAAGCTTTGACATTTTCTCCCATATAATTCTACCATGGTCTAGTAGTAGTTTCAATGAACTTTGAAGTTATACATCACATTTACATTCATCAATTCTGTATCACATTTTCAAAGTAGAACAGATTAGGTTGTTGTTCTTCGGCACTATTTCTCTTGCCATGAAAAGTTTATTGTTTTTTTTTAGATATTTCTTCTACACTATGAATATATAAATGATTATTTTGTTAAACCCATTCATCATCGTGTTTAGTTCAATTATTTTCATTTATTTTATATTTCAATAGTCTAACAATGAGAAACATGATGATACATTAGAATATGGTGAGATTGAAGTAAGTTTATGTTACTGTTATTTAAATCAATACCAAATTATCCTCAATTTAATAATATTATCTATTTTATTTACTAACGGAGAACATATAAACAAGTTTTACTATTGGTATAGTGTGTGCTACTGATTTCCATAGATATAAGTAGTATGCATCACCAATCGAAAGTGGAATAACTGGAGGCAGAAGGTTGAGAAAATCGAAGAGAAGAGAACAAGAACAGAAAGTGATTCGTATGGAAACAAAGGAACAACAAAGTCTGAGACAATTGATGGATATTTGCAAGTGAACTAATTACTATATGGTTCTCAGATTTTACGATGAGAATCTGTAATTGTGTGTCATACTGTGGTGTGTGCTACTTATATTGACATAAGTGGTAGATGATGTTAGTCGTGAACAGAAGATCTGGCAGTAGAGAGACAAGAGGATCGAACAGTAAAGAATGGAAACAGTATGCAATTTGTATGAAAATGCAAGAACAATGTAATCTGAGTCATTTTGAGACAATTGGTGGACATTTTGTAAATTAAGCATTTACTTTATGATTGTTAGATTTTATTAACAAGTCCATAGACTTCAACTATCATTTCCAATTAACTTCCAATTTTACTTTTAATCATTAATCATTGAGTTTTGGTATCATTTGAATGAAAGATTATTCACCAGTTTTTCATAGATTTCAATAGTTATAAATCTAAAATTAGGTTTAGATTTTACCACGAAAGTTTCAGTCGAGGAAATAATTGGTAATATGATTTAGTGTAGTTTTTATTTCAAATAAAGACAAATAGCTGAAAATTCTTTCAACGTTCAAGGAAGTGATTTGTAGTGTTCTGTATGTAGGTGGATTTTTGATATGCGACAGTTGTGAAACATCATGGAGCCCTTCATTTACTTAAATAATTTGATTTATTTGAATCGTATACATTTCAATTCATTTTTGTATTATTTGTTTGAACTTTCCAGTTGATATTTAAGAATGCAATTGATAAGTTTCTTATTCTCATATGTGCATCTTGTGTACGTCCTGGATCCCACTCCTAGCCACCATCTGTCTCTGCTTATAAAGCTTGTGAATTAAGGCAATATCGATACAATATACACAGTATGTGCATATGCCTATAAGAGATTGATCAATAGGAGTCCTGAACATCAATAGGAAGATTCAAGTAAAGAATGGCAAGTGAATTTAAACTTCACCCAATTGTACAGGCAGGTGGCTATCAGAACTCAGTAACTAAGTAGATAACACGATGGCGTTTGAAACGAACGGTACTGTGTTGGAGTCCTAAAGTGAACATTAACTCTGAACTGTTGGTACATCCGGCTAACAAGACTTAAATAGAACGAAATGCACATCCTAAATTCCTTTGCTAGCTACCATTTTAGCATTTTATTTCTGAAATGAACTAATAGTATGTAATTAATACAGTTTGGCAGTAATGTGTTTACAATTCAGTTCTACAAAATGATCAGATTTTATCTAAATGAAAAATTCATTAAGAGTTTGTAAATTTCTGTTTCATATCATATACCGCCATCAATTCAGTTCATCCAATCACAATGTTTAACGTCATTTCATCAGATAAATGTTTTTGGATTTAAAAGTTTCTCATTATCATTACACAGATTGAATCTTCTGCCTTTGAAGTTATTTTAATCAAAGGATATTAAAACAAGCACAATATAATGCGAATGTTAATATTGATGTTAAGGAAATATTGATAGGAAATAATACAACCGGTACTCATGTTAGTTTAAAATTATCCATTGGGTGAATTTTTTAAAATGAAAGTTCGATTAATACAAATGATGTTTTTGTTGTTGTAAATAAAGTTCAATATACTAACTAGATTTCCTCAAATATCTTATTTCGAAGAATCACTAAACATGAAAGAATATTCATTAGTATATATGGTTTGTGGCTACTAATGGAATCTAGAACGCGAGTTTTGTCTTATTTACGACTTGCCATTTGGACGTATCTGGATTATAGAGTTTATGTTCACACTGGGACTTAAACCGACCACGTTTGGCTTCAAACGTCAGGGCATTATCCACTGAGCTACTAAGTTCAAATAGCCAATAAATTATGCAGTAGGTATAAATTTATTGGTGATGGTCTGTGGTTCTCCATTGTTGAGCATGTTTTTCGAGTTTAAAGCCAACTCAATATTTTCACTAACTGATATTCGTTATAACATTCACCTCTAAAAAAATTAATCAAATAATGTTACCTAAAAAAGTTAGGCTCCGCTTCAAGTATTTTTTGGCGAATAAATGTTATCAAGTAATCCGTATTTGCTGATTCGATTTTACTGACCATAAATTGACTCGTTTTATGGAATTAGTCTAAAAAAGCCCTTCTGATATAATTCAACATGTGCTCACTAGTGACTGACTTCAAGAGGTAATTCCTGGGGTTCTAATGAGAAGCTGTGATCAATGAAGTTCAACCGGATTTCTTATGAGATAGTAACTCGCTGAAGACAATGGTGGACGGTGGCGCTCAATTTCGTGGACTAGTTGTATTTAGACATTAACACCGTTGGATGCTAGCCGGGTCAGTGATCTAGAGGCTAAGAGTTCGCGCGTGAGACAGATAGGTCCTGGGTTCGAATCTCTCGAGGTGGGATCGTAGATACACAATGCTAAGGAGTCCCATAATAGGACGAAACGGCCTTTCAGTGCTTCCAGGTCTTCCATGTTGGTCTAACATCAATTGATTCATGAATCCAACTATTACATTACTACAATCTCCACAAAACCCCTTATGATCTTTGGATTAGTTGAATAAAATAATAGTTTAAATATCATTTAGACAAATCATATGTAATTAAGAGGAATATGATGGAAAAGATTCCTGCTGTTTCGAATCAGGTCTACTAGCATCATAGTGTACGCATACACAAATGGGGAAAACCAAACTTATTTGAACACAGAAATACATATTCTCTTCGTAAAATCTGAGAACCATATAGTAATTAGTTCACTTGCAAATATCCATCAATTGTCTCAGACTTTGTTGTACATTTGTTTCCATACGAATCACTTTCTGTTCTCGTTCTCTTCTCTTCTATTTTCTCAATCTTCTGCCTCCAGTTATTCCACATTCGATTAGTGATACATACTACTCATATCTGTCGACATCAGCAACATACACCACAGCATTTATTTATATCTAGTTTACAAATTTCGATAATATGTTCAAACTACTGAAATTATCATCAACCAGTAGAGTGAAATTATGATGTATCGAATCAGGGCTAGTATTTCGGTGTTTTACTGTTGGCATAGAGAATAAATTACTGTCGAATATTATTGAAAACTTTTCTCTGAGTTGATATACATCTTGTTGAAACGATGAAAAAGATTTGTATTTCAATAGCATGATTTCTGTTCTCTAAACTAGATGGTTCAAATGTGAAGTTTTATTTCATTCTTTATAATGTGAGCATAAGAGACAAGAAAAAACAAACATTGTAATTTACTATTCAATAAATTATCACTCCTTCGTTTATTAATGTTTATTTATTTGTAGTTAGTATATCATCTGATCTTTATATTTCCTAATCACAAATTCTCGTATGATTCATGGACTTTTCTACTATCTTTTTCCGTTTAAAAGCTATTTTAATTTAATCATGAGTCGAATATTCCCAATTTAACTTTAAACTCCCTAATTCTGACAAATTGTATTCTATTCATTATTGTATGTTATGATTTATGTGTTTAATCACGTGATATTTTTGGCTAAAGTTTTGTAATACTGTAGTGAGCAATAACATCATACCACGTTACAAATCTTGAGATAAGACTGACATGAACAATTACCGGCTAGTAAATATTACTCCAGTTATTTCTAGGATTATGGGAAAAATTATTGGTGATGAACTTTCCAACTATTTACTTGCTGGAAAATTTATCAATGATACTCAACATGGATCTCTTAAAAATCGATCTTGCATGACATGTCATTTTGACTTCTTTAGTTTAGTCTATTCTCTACGTAGCCAAGGATATCTAGTCTTAGTGCTATATCTGGACATTTCTAAAGCCTTTGACATGGTTAGCCACCAACTTCTTATAGGTAACCTCGCATCTTATGGGGTTCAAAATCCTTTGCTTGCTTGGTTTGATTCCTTCCTCAGCAATCGACATCAAATAGTTAAAATTAAATCTTCATTGTCTAACGCTGTCCCTGTTAGAAGTGGTGTAATACAAGGTAGTGTCTTAGGTCCTTTGCTCTTTTTAGTGTTTATCAATGATATTTATGAAAGTTTTTGTGTGCGTAAGCCCCTTCTATATGCAGATGATCTTAAAGTAGTATATTCATTTTCTCTACATGAGCTGAAAAATATGCAAAATTTCATCAGCATGGAGCTTAACAAGGTAGCACAGTGGTGCTTAAAATGGCAACTGGAGCTTAATACGGCTAAATGTGGATGGATATGCTTCGGCGATACATCACTCAACCTAGACATTACCATAAATGGAGAAGTGTTATCTGGGTTACATACAGTAGTAGACTTAGGACTTAGATACTCGTTTACAGAACAGACATTAAGACAGACTTCTAAGTCTCAACGTCTAATAGGTTACATAACTCGAAACCTTTAAAACAATGAGTCAGGTATTTTAATGTACAAAGTTTGTGCTCGACCTCTTCTAGAATATTGCACGTTTATTCTTAGCAGTGCGCGTATAAACGATAAATTAAGTCTGAAATCGGTACAGAGACGATTTACGCTTCATATTCTTCGAGCTGATTGTACCTTAACTTATGATTCTAGATGTAATAAACTTGGGCTAGACCCTTTATGGAAGAGGAGACTCAAATTAAATCTTATCTTTTCCTTCAAACTACTTCATAAACTATCCTTTACATACAATCACGTGATTCAATATGCAGAAACTTCTCATTATGACATCCGTAATTCCTTGGCACTAGTGAAACAAACTCATTCTAAATCATCTCTTTATATGAATTACTTCACCTGTAAATTTTCTAGACTCTAGGATAACCTACCACAATCTTTCCGTACGATAAAATCACTCCCATTATTTGTTCGCTGCATCGATGCATACTGCTCCACTGAAAATGCATTGAATGTTCTAGCACCTGTAAGTGTATCTCATTCCACAAGTAGCATTATAGGATCTTTAAATGTTTAGCCATTTTTATTAGTGCATTCCCTAAGTAAAACCACCTACTTGCTGTCACTTTATGTTAACACCGCCCCTAGCAAGTTTAACTAATTTGAATAACATCGACAGAGTATCACTGTGTCACATGACACACGCATTTCGGTAGACCTGATTGACATATTTCGGTAATTACTGATTTGTTGTTCCGTGGTCTCTGTTTTCGTTTTAATTTCTCTAGTTGTAGATAATTATCATTATTTCGATCTGGCACACGAATTGACCTCAATTACACCGTTCATAAATCAACAGGCTGTCCATTTAAGAAATATTAAAAACTCCCGGCTGATGCATTGGACCGCTGTAATACATGTACTACTTAAACAACTACTGAACTAGTATACTTAAAACTTTCTTTTATCACATGTTTGTTCTGCACGTCTAACGTTATTATTTATATCAAATTGATCATGCCTGTAAACTGGCGTGAATTCTGTAATTATTATTTTTCAGAATATAAAATTATTATTACCAGTGGGGACAATCGAATGTATTTAACACAACATTACAGGACTTGTTAATAAAATCTAACAATCAAATAGTAAATACGTAATTTGCAAAATGTTCGTCACTTTTCTCATAACGACTCAGACTTCATTGTTCTTGCATTTTCATACAAATTGCATTTTGTTTCCATTCTTCACTGTTCGATCCTCTTGTTTCTCTACTACCAGACCTTCTGTTCACAAATAACGTCATATACTACTTATGTCAATATAAGTAGCACACACCACAATTCTACCTTCTTGTTTTTCCTCGTTGACTAACTGAAAATTAAGCGCCTGTGGCAGTAAATCAGCATCAGTATAACAGATTAATTATTCAAGCTATTAGGATGGTCTAACAAGATCACATCACAAATATTCGAATTCTTGGTACTTTTATAAGTTTATCTCAAGCTACTTAGTACATCAAGACATTAATGAGTTATGAATCAGTTACCTTGCATATGTAATATCAAGACCATTAGGTTTGGACGGTCATTACACTTTTCCTAGATATTATCACTAGTTTCTCATTTATACGTATCTTAATGAATGGGTAAATACTTTCATTGATAACTCGAACTGCGCATGTTCACTTCTGATTTGCTTGAGTTTTATGTTTTCCTTATTAGTTATGATAATCGAAACCTTCAACAATGATAATTCGTTGTTTGATCACATTTCTAATGTAAATTTCCCACCATTAGAAGTACTTTTCTCAGCTAATTCTCTTTAATGGTGACCAATCAAACTTTACAGCATCGATAACAGAAAACCTCAGGAATATATCAACCTATTGCTGAAATAAAATTCTCATTTTTCCTATATAAAATATATTCTAAATCTCCTTTATTAAACACTGAAATAATTTAGTGACAGTTTTGATTGTTTTTTTACTTTCAGGTGGGAGGGTGAAATGAAAAACTTTTTTAAAATGTTTACTCAAGTGTTTAGAGTGACTTTTTATTCTCATATTTCGTTGGCCCCCATTCAAAATGATATTCATTTTGACAGTCGGTTAATAATTTATTTCATATTTCCAATTAGCTTGATAATGTATACATTTCACTTAAGTTTTCTTTTCACGTGAATAGATTCCATAGACTAGTTAGCAACAAAAAAAAGACTGAAAAATAAAATTATTCAGGCGGAAGCACTACCCATTTTTTTTCATCGATTTGAATTGCACTGTTGAAATATTAAAAGAAGTAGCAAAAATGTTTTTAGTATAAATTGGTTGAGCAATATTACAGACTGATTAAAGTTGAACGTGTATATTATTGGATTCCGATTTAATGGTTTAGAGGTTAGGTGTCTGTTGCGAGACTGAAGGTCACTGGTTCAATTATCGAAGGTAAGATCAGCAGTACATACTGCTAAAGAGTCTTATGCAAGGATGAAAAAACTGTCTAGTGTTCCCAGGTTTTCAATAGTTGTCTTACTTTGGTTGATTCATGATCTCAATAAAATCCTAATTTGTTTAGCCTAATAGATCGCTCAGAAATTATGATATCTTTAGGATTTGACTGAATGTATTGGTACGATAATAGATAATGGAAATAGAACTAGGTTAACTGAGTTCAGAGAATGCAGCATCTGAAAATCCTCCTTATGTGCAACAATTCATTCCAATCACCTAAAAATAGATTACGCTGAGCAATAGAAATAGAATGTAGCGACAGAAAAAGCTTGGTCTTTGAGTAAAAATGACAATTAACAAATATAAGACTTTTTGTATAACTTATTGACTAACTGGAATCCGTAATGGAAGTATTAGGAAATGATTTATACTGACTGATCCAACAAGTGAACAAACTGTCATATGGAGGTATTCAAATTAATTGGAAGCAAGAATCGCAGTTTAAATTGAAGGAACTTGTATTTTATGAACCAACGATGTAAATTTTGATACTTAATAAAACGTATAGTATATTAACAAGATACACCATTTACAAATTTATATGATGATATCTGTTGTACACCAAATTGTGTACACTCAGATATTGAGCCACTTTAAATAAAAGGTTAGTATGAAAGTAGATCAATAGAATTTAGTGTGTCTTGAAGAATGGACAGTACGGATTCTGATACTAACTAGGGGCCGATTAAAGAATAAACATCTCATTTTAGCAAACCATTTAATCTGTTGGCTACCGAAGAAATAGTGGACAACATTGAATTTGCAGAAAATGATCAACATTCTGACTTGATTCTAATTTTAAATCAAAATTGCACTGATCAACAAATATGAGTATGTACTTTTCATAACTATAAAAAGATGTATGAGAAACCTTGTACACTGTTAATTAATAGATAAGTCGATGGTTAGTGCTAGCATTTTATATTAAGAAGGTAGGTAGTTGTTATTAACAAACTAATATCATAAATTGAGAATATTCTTGAAAACTCTATGGAGGTGTACAAACGTTTACGTACTTGTTTACTTATTTTCTCTGGTTAGCGTTTTTTTAGCGAGTTAGTTTTCTACGGGATAGGGTCGCTAACCCCATCCCCAACCCTCCTTCTATACTCGGGCTTGCAAATGGCAGTAACTCTAGAAGAGATACAGGCGTAGTTAAACGTTTACGTAGTGTTATATTTACTCAACCGAATAGTTTGACTAAAAATATACATAACAAAGTTTCGAGAATGGTCAATCACAGGCAAGATTATCAGACTGTCCAATTATCCACACTTATAGAATGATTTTGACAAGTTTCTTTTTCTTTGGAGTATACACATGATCATATTGTTCATAATAATAATAATAATAATAATAATAATAATAATAGTTTACAGTCAAAACAATGTAGCCTTTAAGGTGTAATATCATATAAGAGGCATCTAATTAAGCTACAAATATTTTCATACGACCACAAAAAATACTATTATTAAATCTCTATTATTTATTTATCTATCTAATTCTAGTTAATACTAACATTTGATGATTATGATCAAAGTTTAACTGTACATGTTGCACGTGCACGTAATCTTCCAGCGATGGATTTAAATGGTTTAGCTGATCCATTTGTAAAAGTAAGACTACATCCAGATCCAACAGAAGAGTAAGTATAACTAATTGATTATGTTTTAGTTATGAATTTTAGATTTCTTATGATGAATTTCTTTTCTACGGTTCATTGTACTATATATAATACTTTGAAATTATATGTAGCAATATGAATAATAATTTTAGATTAAGATCATAGTTTATGTAACTTTAAATAGTTTACAGGAAACTGTGAATCTAGGTTTGTGCTAGCTGGTACTCGTTAGCAATACACGACTGAAATCTGGAATGAATTGACGTTCCATACAATATTCAAACCCTCTATATGATCTAACATTAAATGATGTGAGCCGTGATACGAAGCTATTTGATCCAGTGGCCATATTGTAACTTGATTGTTGACGTTGGTTACTACTCAGTGACAGATTACTTTTAAGTTGAATGTTGTTTTTAAGTCACATGACTTGATGATCACATTCGAAATCTACTTACTGGAATCTAATAAATGCTGAATAAAAGAGAACCTAGTGTCGTTATTACATGACTTATTGAAATACACTTTAGTTTACTTCAAACAACATAACAGAAATGCAAACTGATTTGTTCGTACATAAATCTAGAATGTTAACACTGAATCTTCCTTAAAAGCTTGATTACACTGAATGGATATTATTTTTGTAATATGCTTGAAGCACATTTTGGCAAATATTTACATTTATCTTAGTATTTAGGACAAACATTGAATAGACGTAAAGAGACTAATAATTTACACTCTTTACTCATGTTGACTTTCACCGACTTCCGACTAGACGCTTGTAAAATCCTCATGATACAAATTTAAGAAATAAAGATGATGTAAGACAAAGAACATCTCTTGATTTGATCGACTTTCGTAAACCAAACAAATTCGCTTGTATTCTATATGGTGTCCAAGGGAGTAGTATTCAGTCATTTTTAAAAGAATCGTATTCTCATTGGTAGATGGTTCGAAACAGATTTCCTGAAGTTATATTATCATTCAGAAGTGAAGCAGCTGTTAATGGATAACATGGAATGAGAGCTGAGCTTTATCTAAAGTTACGTGGAATCAGAAGCATAAATTATTGAATTCTAACTTTACTACTCAGTAGTATTATACACTCGCTGAATAAACAAAAATTGTAACTAGAGATTACTGTGAAGTATGAAATTAGAACAAAATGAATATTTAGATGATTTTTAGTTTCAACTAAATTCTATGGAAGACATAAATTCATGATCAAAATACAGCTCAAGTTGAATAGACGTTCAATCGAGACTCTAATTTATGGACGACCTTTGAACGAATCTTAAGTAACATTCAGAAATATTAGCCAATCAGCAAACAGTCAGTATAAGGTAAAAATATATTATACAAAACCAAGGAAATAAAGTGGATATACTTCTTATACGTGGGTTCAAAAACTTGTCAAGGTTAGAAAGAGGTTCAGAGGTTCTAAAATCGTAATGCATACAGTAGAGGAAATCATCCATATGTCCACAGAATAGTCAGCCTCTGGAGTCATGATAAAATCTGAAAAACTCTTTCAGCCTCGACCACATAGTTTCAATATTGTTTATGTGCACTCCGGTTGTTGATTGCATAAAATGTTACTTGTGGATAACGACACGATGCACATAACCAAGCTTATGTAGGAGTCTGTACACTCTACAAAATCCGTATATATTGTAGTACCTGGCTGCAGCCAGTGTTACTGGTGCTTTTATTGTCCAGTTCGCAATAATTGTCGTAATTTGCCTTAGTTAGGAATTATATATGGAATTTTCATCATGAACTGACATCAGCTTTAATGCCAGAAACTTATTTAGCCAAATCGATGAAATGCTTTCACGTTAAAATCCGAGATCTATTATCTCATACCTGATTGATTCATCCAAAAATTATAGTCTTGCCGTTTTATTTGTTATAGCCGCTCAATTATCACGTTTTGTACAAAATTCCTTGTGAACCGACGTTAGCATCAAGCATTGAAGTTGACGCCATAACCTTGAAATCTCTAAAATGCCTCTGATTGGCTCGTTCATTAATTAAAGTCTCGCTGACGTTTATAAATCACGTCATTGTAAAAATGATTTGAAAATCTAAGTCTTGATAGATATTTTCTTTTTCAAATGAAACCGAAGTTATGTCATGTTAACATTTTTATTTTATACAATTATTATTTTAAATATAATCATATTAGCCCTGATTTTAATCGTCAAACAAAATATATGCCTAATACATTAACACCTGAATGGCAACAGACTGTTGTATTTATGAATTGTATAAAACGTACATTAAAACGACGTGTACTTGAAGTAACTGTATGGGATTTTGATCGATTAAAAACAAATGATTTTATGGGACAAACAATTATTAACCTTGGTGGTAAGCATTTTAACTTTATTAGATCAAATTAAACATTTTATAATTCTAATATCATTAAAATGTTTATATATTATTTTTATTTTTATTTGTAACATGATAGAATATTTGGTATGATTGATATGTTTTTGACGTTTAATGCTACATGTTATATCTGGTCGTCGCTGATTGTTATGTCGGAAACGTTTATCACTTATACTTGAAAGGAGGGACCTGTGCAATTCCCCATGACACGAAAGTGAAAATACAAAGATTGATATAAGTGAAGATTTATTAACTCTAAAACACGACGATGACAACCCTTCTTGCGTCGTGGGAATTACAGAGGTCCAACGTTTCAAATATAAGTGATAACTGTTTCCAACACAACAATCAGCGACGACCAGATATATCACGTAGCATTCAAATAACAAGACATATCAGTAATAAGTTAGTAAGAAATATAATAGATGAATTTTCATTTCCTTTATTATGATTGTCATAAATTGTTTAAGGGTTATTACACCATTTTAATATCCAAAGGGAGTTATTTTCTCATTCACTCACCATAAATTTAATTTACACTCTTGTGTAATAATTTCAAGGAATGTATTCATATAAAATCTGTTAGGAAAGTAGGTTTCCATATTATTCATTCTTTTCAACTTTCCTAGGTGAATTTTTCTTGTCAGCTAATTAAATTTATCTCTCTCATTTTTATAGAAATAACATTGAAACGAGAGTAGGACTTCATTGAAAAAGGTTGCAAACACTAGGATTAATTCTAGTATTCCGAGACGTAAAGCATTACCTGTTCACGTTAAAAAGTATTACAGTGTTCAGAGACTAACTTATGCACCAAGATAATGTTAATACAGGTTTGTTTCCATTTCATCGTAAACTAAAATTAAATTTTCCGGAATCAAAAGACTAATTTTTAATAACTAAATGATTTCTTAAATGAATTCGTAAAACTACTGACTTCTGTTTACATTATTTGAAGTAATAATCTATTAATAGAATGAATTAAATAATCTATTCGATTACTGAATTCTTCCTAAACGAGTGCATAACAAAAGTTAGTTATATTGGATAAAAACTATTCAATTGGGTAGTGATTTTAATCTTAATGAATAATTTAATAGTTGAATTCATGAGTCAATTAAAACTAGACCACCATGGAAAACCTGAAAGCACTGAACGGCCTATTGTGGGACTCCTCATCAGTGCGCATCCACAATCCCATCCCGCGAGACTCGAACTCAGAACTTATCGGTCTTACGAGCGGACGCTCAGCCCCTAGACCACTGGATAGGCATCCGACGGTGTTAATGTATAACTTTAAACAACCCACTATATTACTATATCATCTACAAAACCCCTCCCTGATTAATGAATAACTTACAATTTGATGGAAACAGTAAACATTCCTCCATTAATTTACGGAACGAAATGGTTGTTAAGATAACTGATGAAACAATAATTAACAGTTGCGGGTAATTATTAACTAAGCAATGAATTCAACCTAAATTTAATTGTTATGGTAAAATTGATTACGAAATGGTCGATATTATATATATTTAAAGGTCAATATTATGAAAAGAATGCAAGTATAGTGATTACAAGTATGAAAGAATTGGTCCGAAAACTAATTCTAGATGTACACTACCCTGAAATGAATTTATTTACTTAAACACATCAACATTGGTATAAGGAGGCACCAAATAGATATTCGCCACACAAGTCAAATGATTTATGTGAGGGTTGGAATACTGCCTGGGTGACCAAACTAAAGCAGGTGGTTTTGTTAGGGGAACATACCCCAAGCCTTTGACCTAAAGGCCAAATCCACAAGACAGTGGAGCAACGTGAAGAGATGAAGTCCCATGGTAGCCGGTGACCAACAATAGGTTCATATGCCATTTGTTTCTTTAGGATACTGGAGCCCATGTTCACCATTGGTTTGGAATCAGAGTTTTCTAACCCCTCTAGGTGGATCTTCCGTATCCACCAACTATTTATTTTTGTTTCGATATCATGCAAATTCCTGAATGCATTTCTTATCTGTAGCTAGCTTTTTCTTGCTTCCAAATAAAAATATTATAATAAGTAGACCTATTCAATACTTTTGGTAAAACAATTAGTTGGAAAGTATTTACAACTGTTTAAGTATGGCAAAGAATTAGATAGACCAGTTATGCTAAACTTTAAAATTCTTAAGCGCTTTGGACAAGAATAAATCAATTATTCTTTATTCTTAAGAGCACTGACTTGAAACTCAGTGGTTCTCACACTACAAATTTGGCCACGAATATTCTACATTTATTATTACAAAACTAATTCACATTCATTTACATAGAAGTTAACTTATTCTCTTGAAAAACTTTCTTTTGTATATCAATAATTTTCTTAAATTCTTGTCATACTAATGATACATTTTTATTATTTCAAATGAACATATAACTATTTCAGATAAAGAATACCTTGATGGTAAACCTCATTGGTTTAGTCTTCATGGGTTAATGCCAGTTGTTATACCAGTTCCTAAAAAGTCAGTATCTTCATCGAAAACTTCATCTGATAGTTCAAGACAGGCTAAGGTAATTCTGTTGCTTTATTATCATTGTTATCGAAGTAATTTTACCTTTTAAACATTGTTTTCATACAGTATTTCAGGTCCTCACTTATTCAGTTACAATCAGCGTAGAACGTGGGATATATATGCATCTGTTCAATTTACCACACCACATCACAGTGAAATGACATCATTAAAATAAATCTATGAGTTGTAAAAGTACTAAGATTTCTGGTGGTAGAAGAAACAACTGGACCTAAAGATTATTTGAAAATAAGGAATAAATACGGTGAAATAGAGTTACAAGTTAATTTTGAAACTCAGGATCATATGGAAGATAATAAGTGAATATATTTGCTCCACTATAATTGCTTCTGAACCATATCACCTAATCCCTGTACTTGCTAACATGGCTGAGGCCGACAGTCAAAGCATTCATGGTCTGGAGTTACATTTCCTTTTTCCGACTACAACTTTCTACCAACCTACTAGTAGTGATTGGAAAATATATTACATGTTCCAAACACCTCTATCGAAGAAGATTCACAGTATCGACAAATTATTTTTTATCTTTAACCAATACTCTGAGTATAATTTCAGTGTTTATCATACGGTAGTCCTAAGATAAATGTGCAATGTTTCAAAGACACCTATGACAAAATACTAACAACCTACGAATATCCTCCATCATTAAAGGTCATGTTCCACAAGCACAAGGCAAAATTTACTGATCTGTTGTTTAGTATACTTGCCCATTGCACGACAGCCTACAAATAATTCATTGCAGTATGAAAGCAAGGATCAAAGTATTTGCTAAATCAGCTGAAATTAAGTTATGTAAATGGGAAGGAAGTGTTTTCAAATTGGACCATGTATTTATTATATGTACGCTACTAAAGAACAGTGAACAAATGTTAACATATATCCGATGCCTCATAGATTGTAATAATTCTTCAGTTGATATCAATTCCTAATATTCATATAAATGATGTCATAAAAACTGTAGTCGCGTTCATTATTTCACGATGAAACACGCATGTAAAATTTTGAAATCTAGTGTAAGGTTCCTTATTCGTCTGTAAATTATTAAAAAAATACTTAGACTGATAAACTTTTGGTTAATCATACCTCAGATTTAAAAATATATTCCCAACTGCCCTTATTGATTACTATCAAAAACTACAACTCAGTTGTAACCTCAGATGTTGTTCACAGGCATTAACAATTATATTTCAGTTATTTTACTCATAAAAATATACTACTTTCACTGACATTTTATGACACCAGGATTATTAGACGAATATTTCAAGTATATGTGCTTAATTTATTTTTTAAAACTATGTTACTACTTTATCAATCAATAGTGAATTGTGTAATTATTTCAATCTTTTTGTTCAGAGCTCTAAGGACAGTAGTTCTAGAAGAAGTACAGTGAATAAATCACCGAAAGGTAGGTTACATTTATTCTGTTTAGAAAGTGATTGATCGATGATATCATTAGCTAAATTTGTTGACGTTTTTGAACGAATAGTTTAAATTCAGAACTAAGGATTCTATTTTTTTTTATACAGAGGAATATTATCATCATTTAGCTGTATCCTAAGCATAACTTATTTATCTAATAACTTTGTGTGCTAATCAATTGACGACTATTTTTTTTAAAAATCTCTTTTCGTGATTAGTTGTTGTGTACTCTACCTAACCGTGAAATTTAAAATTATGTTCCATAGAAGGTATAAATAGAATTGTCATTAAATCTACTGTTTCCTAGTAAGCTTTAATAACTAATTGGGAATATTATTTATTCGATTTTGTCTGCTGATCATAATAAAATATCTAACACAAAATGCAATCAACTAGTATGCTAAGTATCTTAGACTAAACGTTGTTTTAAACAAATTACTGAACAGATTTTTGAAGGATTATAAGCATCTGATTATGTTAGATGATTTAAAACTATCAAAGAGTTATCGTGAACTTAGTTTTTACGCTTATTAATGTTCTTCAATGTGGTTACATGAAATCTAGTAGGAACTGATTCTCCTTGTGGAATTAAAACCCACGTTATCTAGTTTTAAACAGAGAAAATACTACTGAACTATTCAAGTTACAACTGACCTTCCATACGACTAAAGATTTGTTTCATGTGACTAATGTCATCAAAAATGGTGATTCTATTGAGTCAGTAAAAATTCAAAAAATGATGTAACTACAGATATGGATTGGTCATTTCATGGGATGTCTTTTTTGAGTTTTAAAATTATACAAAAGCATACGCAGTTAGTTAAAATACTAAAGATATAATTGAGCAAACCAATGTAATACTATATTACACATTGTATGCTTAGAAGTAGCTCGCAACCAAAGGTGAACCTTCGTTTTTTATTTGGTAGTACTAATCGGAGAAACCTCCATTCACTGAGTACATTACCTGTCTTTACTTATCTAATTTGTCGTGACAATGCAGTGTTCAGTTTATTGGAATTTATCAGTATGGGGGTTGTGGAGATTGTTAAGTTTTTGGTTGAGATTATGAATCAATTGATGTTAGACCACCGTTGGAAACCTGGAAGCACTGGACGGCCGTTTCGTCCTAGTATGGACTCCTCAGCAAACTCGGTCAACTGAATATTTTCAGTGATACTGACTATATAATGAAAAAAAGGAATGATTATTTTTCTTAGAAAATAATTATTTTAACCTAGTTCACTTCTATATGCAATCTGAATAATTCAAGCAGACGGAAAATTTAATTTATGAAAAAGAAAATGGTATTAAAACGATAATGATAAACATTACTTTGCTTACTTACTTACTTACACCTGGTACTCCCGAGGGAGCATAGGCCACTGACCAGCATTCTTCAACCCACTCTATCCTTGGCCTTCCTTTCCAGTTCTGTCCAATTTTTGTTCATTTTTCTCATGTACATAGTTGAACATTAACTAAGGAATATATATTATGGTGGGGAGAAAGAGTTGACCTGAGAATAATGTGTTTTTGAGCTATTTATTTTGAACGACCTGGTCAAATATATAATTGTCAAGGTAGTTTTGTGTAAAAACCAATGAAAGTCTGTTAACTAAAAGCCTAATAAATAATAAAGAGATTGCCCCATCATCATAGGCCTTAATAAAATTATCATAGTAGATTTAAGGTTACTACAAAATATTCCTGTACACATAAACGGTGTTTGAATTTACCAATAACCAAGGCTTATATAAATATGAGAATTCGTCCTTGAAAATTCCTATACAATATTTTGAAAGGTATGGTGATGTCACTTATATGGCTCATTTCAAATATGTGTTTGTAATCGATGAACATGGTCCTCCACTCCTTACGTTTATCGTAGTATTTGACACTAACTGGTTTTGAAGCTGTCTAGACAAATGTTTCGTAAAGCTTGTTTGAATTGTTCGGTTATTCTTCCCTATGTATGTGCTGCCATACAAACATATGAATTAATAAATTAGTTTCAATAAACCCCTTAACAAATATATGTGTGACCAGATCGCTCTAAGTAAAAGGTGTAAATGCATCATACTTTTCAAATCAACTTCGTCTTCTTATCACACTTTCAAAATTTATAATAGGGACTAATTACTGTTTGAAAAGAACAAACCAAATAATATGAAAATTCAAAATCTAACGATAGATAAAGAACAAATAAAACTGAAGTCAATTTTGTCTTGTTTTACTAAACATTTCTACCAACTAACTACTATTGTTTCATGAGCTGAAACACGGAAGTCTTCACCTAACTACATAACTTAATTCAACAGTCATAAACTTCATTAATTAATAGAATGATCTAATCTAGCTGTTATTAGTTACTTTACTAATATGCTAATCAACAAGACATATCGAAATTAGCATAATCTAGTGGGGGGGAGAATATCTAGTATATTTCTCAATTACCTTAGTTATTGAAATTTATAATTATTCGTTTCCAGAAAACTGATAAACTAATGTTGTAAACATTCATATATGAGGCCCATATTTTAAAAATCAAATGGTTAATGAATGTTGTTTTTTATTTCAAGGACGTAAATAATTTTGAAGGACTGATGTTTAGGACTACAATTGATCAGTTTATTATTGGCATATTTGCATGCTGTTCGTATTGCCTCGATATAAACTTCACCCTATTGCATAAGCAACTGGCTAGTAGGACTCAGTAGTTAAGTGGATAACGCGATGGCGTTTGAAGTGAACGGTACTGAGTACAAGTCTCGGAGTGAATATCAACTCTGGAATGAAGGTACATCCAGCTGACGAGTCCAATATTGGACAAAACGTGCGTCCTGGATTCCAGTGCTAGCCACTACCCATCTTTGCATATAAAATAAATACTTTGCTTATTGTTTCTTATTTCTTAACAAAAATGATCATTTTCATATTTAATCTTGTGATATTTTATTTAACTAGGTGACTTGTTATAATGGAAATGAATTCAAGTACATTTATGAATTGATCATCTTTTTCTCAGTATGTGGTAATTAGACCACCAATTCTAAACAAAAAATTTTAACTTTCTTAGTTAATTAGAAATTATTCACTTGCATACGAACTAATTGTATTTCAGGTTAATTTCTATTATAAAGTAATTTTTTACATCATCTTGAAAACCACTGAGAATTATCAATCGTTGAAAAGATATTTCACACACCCTAATGGTTAACGCTTGTGATAATAGAGAGAACTGGAAACAAGATTTCGTTATTTGATAGAAAGTTTGATACTTTATAACAGTTTAGTTTAAATGTCGTAACTTATATTATCAACTTCATTCGATCATTGATATATCACTGTTTTCATTATATCTCATATCTAAATTTAGATCTTATTGATCATAGGTTCAGAAGTGCAGTCAGTGAAAGTAAATTTAATTGTTCACTGGGCGTGAACGGACAGACACTGCTTTGAACTCGCCTTGTGTGGACTGTTCGTAATTTCGCTCAATAAAGTATTATTTAACCCATACAGTGACTCTATATTTAATCGTGTATTATGTGTGTAGTATAACGTGATCTAGTCTGTTCATGGCATACTGATCAAGGAGTATCCAGTCTAGATGTAGCATAATCTCAGTCACCAGTTTCATAATAATATAATTGAAGTATATGGTGGCAAATGGAAAAAATTTCATTCCCCATTCATATCAGGTTTCTAATACAAATTTGAGAAATTGTACATTATGTGAAATTCTATTGAGAATAATGTAACCAAATAAGTGTGTACACTTTTCGATTCATTTCAAGAACACACATTATTATTTGAACACATAGATATTGGTACAAGGAGGCATACATGTGAGCCACACAAATCTCATTTGAATTATGTGAGGGCTGTGATACTGCTCGGGTGCCAAAACCGAGGCAAGGGTGCCCAAACCGAACACTATCTATCACGTACAAAATAATGATAAAAACACAACTTATTTAATAAGCACCTTAGCTAAACATTTAAATTCATGAATACTAAATTTGATTAATTGAGTTAACATCAAACCTGAAATCAAGATACATCTAATTAGATAGTCCCAAATAAGATGAATCTCTCATTTTTGATCCTACTGCTAATCACTGTACACAAGGTTGAAATAGTCATTTATTTTATCAACTATGAGCATCAATAGAACTAAGGTTTATATATATTCAGTCTAGCGAATATCCTGTTCATTAACTCAAGTCTCATTTTGAAATTAACTATAAAATCTTTAATCAACTTAGTTTGAAAATTATTCACTTGTATAAATTAATTAGACCAAAAATTGAAAATAAAAATGGTGTTTATTTGTTTATTTATTCTTTTGCTCAGTCATTTTAACGCATAAACAATAAAATTCTGTCTATGTGTCTTAGTTCATTCAACACTCTTATTAAATTTAATCAGTTCTGATGTTTAACATTTAATTTGGCTAGTCTTTATATTTCTGTCACTACCTATTATTATCATTATCATTATTATTATGGTCTCTATAACTACAAATATAAACAAAGTTAAACTTGTTACACTAACTATAAAATATAAACATAATCAATAAATTTGTAAACCAACAATATTCATCATAATCGTTTATATCAATTATACTGTAATAATTTCAACAGTTGAAATCATGAGTCAATTGAAGTTAGATCACCATGGAAACGTGGAATCACTAGTTGACCGTTTCGCCCCATTGTGGGACTCCTCAGCAGTGCGCATCCACCACCCCGCCTCGTGGGATTCGAACCCTGGACCTATCAATCTCGCGCCAGGCGCTTAACCAACTAGACCATTGAGCCTGCATCTAACGGTGTTAATGTCTAACTTTAACTAATCCACGAAATTGAGCGACACATCCACCATTGTCATCAGTGTAATAAATGAATAAAATACAATAAAAAAAGAGATAAAGTTTATTTGAATTATGTAATATAAATTGGTACAATACATTTTGATTAAACTAACTAACTTGTTAAAACATTTATATATAGAAAGAAAGAGAGAAAGAAAGAAGTTAGTTAAACAATTGAGATCTAAGACAAATTATGAATGTCATAGAATTTGTCTTCTTATTATATTTTAGAATATATTTGTCAAAGAGGTTATCATCAGATGTATATGCCTTTCAAAGGATTTTTGATGTCAATGAGCCTAGTGTAAAATAAATGTCAAAGAAATGATGAAATCGATTGATAATCATGTCAGTCTTAGTCAGCTCAGACTGAATGAAATCTCAAGTTCATTCAACTATTGATTATTCTATAGAAATATATTCTACTGTTGGTTATAGATTGAAATGACTCAAAATGATGAATTTCACCCTTCTTTTTACAATTCCTGGATATATGGTTAATAAGGCATATATATGGGAATGATCAAATTTATATAATTATTATTGAAAAAAAGCAGTGATTAGTACGTTAAGAACGAGAACGTTCAGCACTATCGCTTGTTAAGATTCACCTATAAGAATTATGTTAATTTTCAAAGTAGGCTAACTTCTTATATTCTGACTAATACAATTAAACCCAAAGATAATCTTAATTAATACTGGTCTCAAACATAAGCCTTTATCCTTTGTCTTAGTCTCTAATCTGATAAGAGGAAACACATCAGTCAAGCTTTCATATACCTATTTTTAAGACACTAGTCTATATATATAGCTCAACACTTGTTAGTTTATGTACACTAAGCATCTGATCACATCGCACCCCAAGTAAGATATCTTACTTTAAATATAATGAAGTCAAATATGAAAGAGAAAGAAGCAGTAAGTACTCAATTATTTAAAAGTAAAGGGATATTAAAAGGTATATCAATAGTTGACAGGTCCACTGAAAGCCCATAATACAGGGGATGTAGAAGTACAATGATTCAGTTATCTATTAACCATAAATGAAAGAAGTGGATAGAATTTAGTCACTACTAGAATGTTTTACACTTCACTGTTTAATGAATGACTAATTCAATATATAAATTTTCACATACAAAACTCTTAAGGTGAGTGGGTTATCACTGATATCTTTGAGTCCTTAGTGTTTGAGTCTGCCAGAAATTTACTAAGGTTAGAAACAATGATTACTAATGAAGCCTGTGACGCATATCGATTATCTTTATCTATTGAAATAGCAGTCCTATAAGACACATACTCTAAATAATAAATATATTTTTGTTATATCCCAATGAGTAGAAAACTTATATTTTTGACGTTTGTGACTTAATTTAAGCTACTTCTTCAGAGTAAATAACTAGACAAAATTAAATTAACGCACGTTTAAACAATACAAAGGAAACAGTGCAAAATATTTCTAGTACAATCAAAATCATAATAGATCTGAATATATCAATGTCAAGTCATTCATAATGAACTTGAATATGTATGACTAACTTGACTAAGAATGACTTGACATTGACATATTCAGATCTATTATGATTTTGATTGTACTAGAAATACTTTGCACTGTTTCCTTTGTATTGTTTAGACTTGCGTTAACTTAATTTTGTCTAGTTATTTACTCTGAAGAAGTAGCCTAAATTAAGTCACAAAACGTCAAAAATATAACTTTTCTACTAATTAGATTACAACATAAAATATATTTGTTATAACCATTCAAAATAAATCAGATTTATATTTTCATTATATATTAAATGATGTTGTCAATATAAGCATGTTCACTTTGATTCTCATTCTTCTTGTGCATTCCTATAATGTGTAATTTTTTTAAATGTTTTTTTGATTCACAGATCAACTTCAGTCTCAAAGAATAAATATATGACATTGAAATACACCCGCGATATATAAAGTGACTAGATTATTAATGAGTTTATGTCTGTCGAATTGAATCCAACTATTGTTTCTTTCTAAGATAAGCATACAACATTGTATACATGCATAATATATAAATATATATCAGCTTCTTGAATAAAACAGTAATAAATATCATAATTCATATGGTTATGTTGAATTTTAATATGACTATAAGAAAACCTTCAATTCTATCATCATCGTGATCATCAACATCATCATTATCATCACCATCATCATTATCTTTAGTATATTTTATCTTCTTTACATTCCATTATTTTACCGTATGTATTTAATTTCAACTATTATTACTATTACTGTCTATATATGACAATTTGTTGTGCTTCTGATTATTGAAATAACAGATCATAATTGTTAATGAATAAAGAAAATTTCCAATGGATTATTTATTATCTTCAATATTCTACGGTGTTATACATTGATTATTTTGTTTTTTTTTTTGAAAAACGACAACTTTATGATCTCATACTAAACTGATATTTATTTATGTTTATATACGATTACTGTTAGATAATATGAAATGAATATATAACTATGTATATTTTCGAAGAACAAAGATTTTTAAAACAAACATGTATCTTTTTATAATGAGACTAAATATTATCGGCTTGTTTAAATGTTCCTCATCACTTTCACCTCTCTTGTACGCATCTACCTATTGACTTATGTTTTTCATTCAAAAGAAAGCAAAGTTGTATATAAAGTAGAAGTTTAGAATTTATATGCATATATAACCAGATATATATATATATATATATATATATATATATATATATACCCTAAACTGATCATGTATATGTAATATTCTCTTTTTTCATGATCACTTTACCCTATATCTTCTTGTGTAATGAATAATCTCTAAAAGAAAAACTGAATAGATCAATCAAATATGTGTGTTTTAATGCAACCAAATTTTGTGTTTTTCTTGGCAACAATCATTAATTTAAGTTAAATAGTTTATGATAAATTTGTTAAAAAGTAAGCAAATACTTGAATGAAATATAAACAGTGTTATAATTCTAACTTATGATCATTTGTGTTGATATTTAAGGGAAACCAAACTATATAAATATATAAATCATCTTTGATATCTTGAAGATAAAATTCCTCAAAGATTTATTTCATTTGAATAATTATTGAATACTAGAAATTAATGAGTTCTGTGTTGCCCTAGAAATTTTCAATAATACAGACAAATGAATTTTTTATGAATCAATCTTTCCGCTTTACTTTGGTCAGCAATTATTATTATTATTGATGGCTTTATTCAATATTATATTTTGGTACAATATAGAATTCTCAGTACAAGGTATTTCAACAGGTTTCTTTTACAAAAAACAAACTCAAAAAGAAAGCAACAAAGGTTAAAAAAATCTGAAAAACTGTACAACTTTCCAAATTACAGACATGTTAAGAATTCAGGTTATTGACTAGGTTAACTCTAACAACCTGTTTGTCACAGAGTATATTTGCTAGGTAAGGTATTATAGAACTTTCATACTTTTGCTTGCGTGCATGGATTTTAATGTAATTACGTCTCATTCTACCAGAAGATATACAAGCAGAAAGATAAGAGTGAAGGGATGGCTAGTATCTGATAAAATAACACCTGCCAGGAGTTTGCATGACTTTGGATGTCTATCCACAACCATATTAATTATGACCTCGAAAGATTCACCACACACCTTGCTAACTGCCTTCAGTACTCTACGCAATACAGCAAAGTCTTTTCTCAAAAGCCCGGGAAAGAATCATGGAGATCGGTAAAGAATAATAGGTAATATGTAAGAATTGACAAGTTGTAAGAGTAAGTGACGAGTAATTCCAAGAGCATGCAATCTCTTTATGTAATACGTCAGACGGAAAACCTTCTTCGATAACGATAAAACGTGGGAAGACCAAGAGAGATCACAGGAAAAGGTAACACCAAGATAATTGACCTTCAACACTGTGTTTATCAAATAGTCTTCAATGGCACAAGCATTATGTAATCTCAAAATGTTGTTTAGGTTCCGTTCATGTCTCATGCTAAAGTTAACAGTTTGACATTTAGACGGATTAAGTATGAGACCATTACCAACAGACCAACAATCAATACGAGACAAAAACTCATTCATTTCTATGGGATGTAAAGAGGAAGAGATAGGTATACATACAGTGAGATCATCCGCATATTTTACAAAAGTGTCTACTGTGGAAGATGGCAGATCATGCAATTGAATCTGATTTCAGTTAACTAATGATGCAGAGTAACAATTATCTAATGATTTTGATAAGTAATTTCTTGACTACAGACTTGTTCGAAATTCATCTGTTAAGAATTTGAGAATGGTTTCTAAATGTGACATTTCGTGATTATATTTCTCATGAGTATGTTTTTTCAAGTTTGGATATCATGCATACATATTTCTTTGTAGGTCATATACCTTTGTGTAATTACAATTATATATTTTGTTATTATATATGACAATTATATTTGAAATAATCTCAGCGATTGAAATTTAAATCATTCAAACGTTTCGTCCAGTAAACGTATGTGGACTTCTCCAGGGTAATAATCAAAATTTTTACTTTGATTGTTAAACACTACATGTTTCTTAAATGATTACAATTTTGCTTATTACCCTGAAGAAGTTCAGATAAGTTTACCGGACGAAACGTTTGAATGATTTAAATTTCAATCGCTGAGATTATTTCAAATATAATTTTGCACATATAATAACTTCTCTATACTCGGTGCCTAATTTTTGTCAAACCATTCGTTCTAATACTGAAGAATATTCGTATAAAATATATAAATTATGTTAGGTAATTATTGTACTAATTTGTTTTTATTTATATCAAGTAAAAAAAATAGTTCACTTATAAGAACACAGAATAGAAAAGATTCATATTCGTTTGAGCTTTCCGTAGACTCCTTTTTAGTTTAAAACAGATATCAAAAGAAGATCATAGAATGTCTTATATTTATAAAAGAGGACAATTTCCAAGTCCAATAAGCAAATTTAATTTGATCATCAACGCATGTGATTGAACAATTTGTTCTAAATTACTTCATCATATAATAATTTATTGATTTCTTGTTTCGTGATCAGTAGTATTTTAAGCATGTACTACTTTTATTTGACAATTAATAATGTTAAATCCTTTGTTAACAGGAAAATATAAGGGTATTTTTAGAGTAACAGAAGTCGCTAACTGATCAAATTTACCAATACATAAAGCTCAAAAGATAGTAACCAGTTTATAAGCCAATTACCATATAAAATTATTCCTTAAAATTCGTTTCGTATCCATAATTCAAGATTTTAAATAATCTGAAAAGTTTACAAATATATACGCAGTATAATAGGAAACACTAACAGTTTCAATTCGATAGTCAACTGGAAATAGACTGATTTGCAGTTGGTGTCGGTGTCTAGTAATCGAATTCTGTGTATGATATTTACAATATGATGGTGAGATGAAGTGACTAACTGTTTGAATGAACTCAAACTGGATTATTAAGTACGTGACCATCAGTCATATTTCCAATTCCGAAAGAAACACAGGTGCTGTAGACCTTCCAACCCGTTTCACCCAGTGACCACTTCTGAGAAACGTAGGTCTGTGGCATCCTGCTGGATAATGTCAGCCGTCTAACAGTATATAAGATTCATCTTAAGTCCCAGTAACTTTGTTCATATGCTACATTGCAAAGAATATGGGCTTAATTCGGTTAGTGCCGGTCAGTAGATATGACCGGTTATCATTTAGTGACCGTTTGGCACATATATTTTTGTCCCACAAAAAGCCAATTTTATTCACATAGTTGGGCAGTAATGTGTGTTAAAGTAATATTAAATGACAACTATTTAAAATTTTAGAACAGCATTGATTCCTCCTGTTTTTCAAATTAATCTTACTGAAGTTCGAGAACCAAATGGAATCCTTAATTCGTTGTGTCCTATCACTTGTCTTTACTCTTAAGAGCAAAGACTTTAATTCAGTAATGTTAGGCTTTTTTAACCAGTAGAGCTGATCGATTTTTATCAATCTCATCACAACTCGACCGTTAGTTTAATTGACTCGATATAATATTCACTAAAGGTTTGGTATCAGTTGTATAGGTAAGCAGTTCACTGAAAACTCTAAGACTAAAATTCTTAATAGTTGTAATTCGCTTATACATTTTGATTTACAATCTTGCAGGTAAACTTATAATCCATATGTAATTTGAATTCAAGACACTGTCACAATTAGTTTGTAATTCATCATTCTCATAAAATAAAATTTTGTACGATATTTCCCACTTCTATCTTCTGAAAAATCATGTTTTCAAGGCAATAATAAACAATTAAAACTGATTATTTAATGATAATTGAGTGATACTTTTTCTTGCATCTACTGATCAGTATGATTTCACTAACTTACATAGTTTATTCATATTAACTTAAGGTAAAAAAAACAAACAAACAAAAGATAATGATGATAAGGGAGTCCATTATGATGGAAAAAGACAGAATACAATAAAAACAATAATGGCCTTCTGACAATTACCTCTCTAACTATCTAAACTCTGAAAAATATGCAAGTCAGTTTATCGAAAATTCGTATTTTGAAATACTTATATTATTCATATACTATAAAAACATACAAAAGTCCTTGTACAAACAGTTTACAATTATACAAAATAACATGCAAGTTATATCAATATTCCATAATGAAATCATCAACTTCAAACAGAACAAAACCAACATATATTACCTTTTATATCAGTATATATATATATATATATATATATATAGGTTGGTGGAATGAGTATTATGGAATGGAAGGAAACACCGATATAGTTGTAATTTATATATATATATTTATATCAGCATTAAAAGAAAACCTTCTTAGAACAGTTTATTTCTGTAATAAATCTCGTGTAATTTCTAAATTCATACGATTTCTTTCAACCAATATATCAGCTAATTCTTTATGATCAGATTGTCTTAAAGCATATTCTAATTCAGCTATTTTTACATCATCTTTAACTGTTTCACGTAATTTTTTCCAATACATTAATGTTTTTTGACTAAATGCTGCTTCACGTTGATTAAATGTACGCATTTCTTCATAATTATTAATACATGTTGTTAATGGTATATTTAATAATAAAAATACTCTCATATCATTTTCAGTTAATGCTTTAGCTATATTTAATATACTTATATCTGAAAGCACAGAAGCTGATGATTGAATGTTTCCTTGTTCTTTATCATCAATATCATCTGTTAAATAGATATTTATATGTAAAGAAAAAGGAGAGATTAGAAAGTAAAGAACAATCGAAATAAAAATGAAAATGATGAAATATTAAGTGATTACATAATTTGTTCAATAAATATTGAGAATTCGGTAGACAAAAAATATTGTTAAAGTTAAATAGTGGCTAACAGTAGAATCCAAGGCATCCATATAGTTCTGTTTAAGACCTTTCAGGTAATTGAGCCTGTATTCCAGCTCTGATATTTACACTGTGATTCGAATCTAGCAATTTTCGCTTCAAAATTACAAAGTATTTTCCATTGAACTACTGAGTCTAGATATATACTAGTTTGTGTAACGGGTACAATTTTTAATTATAGATGTTTATATCATTTGATTGTTGATGTTAACCACTGTTAGCTAAAGGTTTATAAAGTCTTGTGACTAAATGGCAATATTGAGGCAATCTGCTTATGTGCACAGCAACAAAATAAAACAAACCAATTCCAGTCCTTAACATCAACAAACAAACCTTAATAAATAGTAATACTATTGATGTGAACAGACATCAATCTTTTTTATTGTTGAAAACATCATGCATCTATGATTTCTTGTGTCAGATGGTCACCAATTTACTGCCTGGGGGAGTTAAGTTTGAAAAATTTGTTTCCTCACACTATTTTAGTAAAATATGAAACAACAGCACTCAAAGACTTCTTCGAATGTTTTTAGCGATTGAAAGGTCTGTTGCCGAAAAAGAGAGAAGTACATAATTAGATTGTGTTGATGTAGCTTAATTTTTTTGTAAAATAAAGCTTTGTTACTACAGTTTGTGTATTTATTGGACAGAACTTTTATACTTAGCAAACATACCTTGATACCCTGACATTTTATTTGATCTATTATCCCAAAAAAATATGTTTATTAATGATGAGTACGGGGTTTGTCTGAAAAAGAGAAAAACAAGAAAATAAACAATTTTTAGTTCCATGAAGTATATTTTGTTAATATTAGCAAAGTTTAAATTTTATTGGGTAAGACACTGAGGTAGAACAATTAGTACTTTACTTCAGTTGATTGTTTACTGCTTTAAAAAATAGACATGAATGTTTGCCATTAACAAACGTGTTCAAAAAGAAATCAGATAATTTAGTCACTTATAAATGAGGTAAGATATAGCAATTATGTTCATCGGTTCAATACTCTACATTTCACAGTAGTTCAAGCATATGAATTTGGACATAATTAATTTCCTCGGTAAATTTTGTCAAATAGGAATGAGAAATATTGAGGGGTAGTTTTATTTTTTTATTTATTGCTTTCAATTGTCCACACCACCGATTTTATTAGTAAGATGTCCCACAAATATGCTTTGTAAAACATTAATAAAGTAATCTATTTTTGTACAATCATCGAGTTCCACTTTATATGGTCCCCAACTATTGCAAAGATTAGTGCACAATCAGTCGAAAAGAATTTATGTAACCTGTTGTTAATAATACTTACCTATGCCTCTTAACCCTCATGGAGGAGTATAGACCACTCACCAGTATTCTCTACTCAATTCCGCCCTAAACAATCCTTTTTAGCTGTCTCCAGCTGTTATCCATCCTTTGAATGTCTGTTTCCAATTCCAGACACAGTATGTTCTTTGATCTTATTCTTTTCCGTTTCCCTTCAGGAGTCCATATTAGTGCTTGCTTTGTGACGCAGTCTGATGATTTTCTCAATGTGTCCTATCCCACTTCAATATCTTTTCTTAATTTCATCTTCACTTGGAAGCTGGTTTGTTCTCTCACAGTAGTTTGTTGCTGATGGTTTTCAGCCAACAGCCATTGAGCATATTGTGTAGACAGCTGTTTATAAGTACTTGAACCATTTTGATGATGGTTGTGGTAGTTCCCGAAGTTTCAACTACGTACAGTACAAATGTCTTGACGTTTGCATTGGAGATTGTGACTTTGGTATTGGTTAACCGATTCTTCTAGTTCCATATGTTCATCAGTTATAGAAGTGTTGTTCTTGCTTTGCCAGTCCTCGCCTTTACGTCTGCATCAGATCCTCCTTGTTCATAGATGATGATACCCGAGTACATAAAAATTTCCACCTCTTCCAGCGTTTCTCCATCAAGTATAATTGGGTAGGTGTTCTTTGTGTTATATTTCAAGATCTTGCTTTTTCCCTTGTGTTTGTGGAGCCCTACTGCTGCAGAGGCTTCTGCTACACTAGCTGCTTTCACTTGCATCTGTTCGTGTGTGTGGGATAGAAGGGCTAGGCCATCTTCAAAGTCCGAATCGTCTAGTTGCATACAAGCTGTCCGTTGTGTTCTGTGCTTCCCCTTAGATGTCGGGATCTTCATAATTCAGTCAACCATTAGAAGAAAGAGAAATAAAGAGAGTAAGCAGCCTTGTTTAACTCCGGTTCTCACTTGGAATGGATCTGTCAGCTGTCCTTCATTCACAAATTTGCAGTGTAGTCTATCGTATGAATTTCGGGTGGTGTTGACGATTTTCTCAGATACACCATGGTGTCAAAGAGTGTTCCATAAAGTCTTTCTATCCACACTGCTAAACTTCTTCTCATAGTCAACGGAGTTGATGTATAGTGACGAGTTCCACTCAACTGATTAATCAAAAATAGTGTCGTGATTTGGTCTGTGCACGACCAATCCTTACAAAATCCAGCATGTTAATCTCAAAGGTGTGCGTTTACTGAATCTTTCATCCGATTCAACAACACTCTGTTCAAACCTTTCCTGGTACTGACAGCAGGGTTATGCACCCGTATTTTTCACATTTGCCCAGATTTCTTTCCTTTAGTGTCTTGATGAGATATCCTTCATTCCACTCTGTTGGAACTTCTCCCTTCTCCCAAATCTCCTTGAATAGAACGTGGAGCATATTTGCAGTTACTTCGTGCGTGAGTTCAGAGCTTCAGCTGGTATATTGTCGGGTCCTGATGCTTTCTCATTCTTCATTTGTCGTCCTCCATCGTAGTTTCTTCTTCTTTCAGTAGATCTTGTAAGACCTGCAACCTGTTGTCGAAAGTTATATTGAATTCGTTGAGTTTGTATGTCGAAGGAAGGCTGTATTTAGCGTTTGTAGTGCAGTTTCTTTAGTTGTCCATTGCTTCTTTATCTTTGGTTTCATCTTGACAACCACCAGGTAGTCGTCAAAACTCTGTCGGCTCCTCCACTAGTCCTCACGTCTTCCATTGATCTCAAGAGTTTTCTACTGGTGTAAATATGATCGATCTGATTCTCTCTCTGTGAGCCAGTGAAATCGGTGTGGCTTTGTATGTGTTTGTGGATCTGATTATTAGAAAGTGCGTCCACCTCGTAGCTTCAAAATAATCTCGGATTTCATTATGAGGCGTCATAACTCTTCCTTCGACTCTGAGGATAGAGTTCAGATGGTTTTATTTTTTTCCCTGGTTAGCGATTTTAGCAAGGTTGTATTCTATGGGGTGATGATGTTGACCCCGTGCCTAGTTCTCCTCCTTCACCCGCGCTTGGAACTGGCAGAACCCATAGAAGAGCTGCAGGCGGATTTTGTCGGTGGTATAGTATGGCAATAAAAAACTGATAGTAGTTACAGACCAACTTTGATGTAACTGCAGCGACGATGATAATTATGTTAATAAGGATAAAACAGCAGCTCAAAAATAATTCACAATAAATGTCTATGGACTTTAATTAAAAGCAGTATCAGTAATAATCGCTTTGATTATTTTTCATAGTTCATTTTCCCAGTATTATAAATTTCTCTCTATAAATTTTGCTCATTACATCCGTGAAGGCTAACGTATCAAACGTTTTCATTATATTCGTTATTTTATATTAGTATAGCTGTACGAGTCTTGGCAACGCGATTGCCGGAAGGAAAACGTCCTTTATCAAAGCTTTCGCGCTGTTAGTTAAATTAGCTATGAATATAAGTGAAAAAAGTTATAAATTTATGTGTTGTTTAAATATAGCTTGTACTGATTGAACCAACAGTGTGAGCATCAACGAGTATAAAAGTAAGGCTATCAACATGCACTGAGTTAATTGCTTCACAGACAACACACATTGCCCGGTACTGCTGATTCCAATTTAATTTGTTAAATGGAGTTTTATGGTGCCTCTTTTTGACTAAACCATGAACGTTCGAAACAACTCATCATCACACTACACAATGACTTTTAACACTCTATTTTTTTCAAGTCTGCTTGTTTTTCCATGCTACTACCTGCAGAATTAAATATCTTGGTCATAAAAGCACTTGACAAACTTGAACAACGAAATAAACTTGTTGTAGAATAATCTGCAAAACCTAACAAAATTAACTCAAGGCTACTAGATGAGCCCCCAAATTTCACACCAAGCCTTTTAAATGAGCGTCAACTGGATGCCAAATGGGGATAATGCTTAAGTCTAAGTTAACTATCTGGCAAAGTACGTAGTACTTGGATGAAGGCCACAGTTTTGGGAGCAGTGATTTTCTTAATGAGTGTAACTAACTTTGTAGTTTCCGTCTCGTTAAATGCTAACTATACAAAAATACCAGGATCGATATGAAACAAAATGAAATTTTAGGACCCCACATGAATCTGAAAACTATGGCACTCACAAATCGTCGTATATTGCTTACAAGTGTGTTATGATGCAAAGTGATCACCAAGACACAGACAAATACGCGATGAATTATCTTAGGTTGTACATTGTCTAACCATACAATGACTGAGTAGCAATAGTCAGTCAAGACCTGAAAGCCACTCTTGCATACCAGCAAATTATCTCATAACCTTTCGATCAGTACACAAACCCTTAATCCAAGCATATGTTAAAATATTTATGGTTTTTTATAAAGTTCTTACTCAACCAAATCTAAAATAATGAGCATGTGCTCCCGACCTCTATTTAGAAAGGGACATTCATTTGTTGTAAAAGGTTCAGCGAACCCCAGCTAACTTAATTCTTGGCGTCTCGGAGACCAGCTGACCTTAGTCTGTTTCTTTCGTCGTATAAAGGAACGACTTATCACTAAGCCGCGACCCTAAAATTGCTTAATGATAATTCTGCATCTAAACTAAACTTTTTGATCTCTAGAACAGAGGATATACGAGGACACATTTTCTTAGTGAGTGATCGAAAATCCATGTACCAAAATACCCGACGAAAAGTGGAATTGGATGAGAGGCTCTCACCATCAAGACAATTGGCATAAAGTATACTGATGAAATAAAGAAAGCGGAACCGAGGCCGCTCAACTGTATACTTTATGCTCATGCGAAGAGTTAGACTCTCGTCATCATCCAAAGCTCAGTGGTCAAGCAAACTAAAATCAACACTTTGAGCAAACACTCGGAATTAAGATTTTAGGGTTTTGAAGTTTATTACTACGCAACGAACTTAAATGTCACCCGCAAGTTAATTATTAATAGAAAGGTAGTCTTTTTACCTAGTTTCAAGAAGTAAAATTAACACCTTTTGATTTTGGATGAAGATATTTGTTTTTAACGTCACTATCAAGACAATAATCTTTGTATATTTATCTACCTGATTATAACGACAACAACTGATAAATTTAAAATGTCAGATTTGAAGAACAACCTTGAAAAGATGGATTTCACCTTGAAGGCTGAAATGAAACAAGTGGTCTCGGACAGAACAGAAGTCTCCGCTTAATGAACTTTCTTCTCTATTAGCAATGGATTATCGATGCCTTCAGGCAGAAGACTAGTTGTGAAGCAAACAGAAGAGAAGTATTAGAAAAGTAATCTGAAATTCTGTCCTGAGTCCCTCAGGATGTATCAAGTTTCCTCTTAAAGGATTCCAACAAAGTCGCTTGAATCACTTCAGACGGTAGCGAGCTCCAATACTTGACCAGAGTTCACTTTGGTGCGCATCACCAACAGACTGAGCCCCTACTTGTTATCTACAAACTTATCTCACACTAACAACATGGATTCCGGAAGGCCTGTAATAGCTTGGCTCCATGTATTGATCACCCTGATAACCATTATTAAATAGACACCACTGATGTATGGATTCAGAAAGAAACTCGATCCGCCTACTTAAATATATTACTAAATAACTAAGATCCCTAGGCTAAAAGCATACCAAGTGAACTTGGACCGAAAAACTAATACACGAGAACAAGTAAATACAGAGGCGAATTGAGAGTCAAATGAATCAGTAAGATTCAAGCACATATATCTTGGGAACCGATCGATTTATCGAGCGATTTTTAGGCGACTACTATTTGATAGAAACCAATAACCGATCAATGGTAGACCACCATTGAGAACCTGGAAGCACTGTACGACCTTTTCGTCCTGTTGTGGAAGCCGTCAGCAGTACGAATCCATGAACTCTCAAGGGAGACTCGAATTCGTGGCCTTTAGCCTCGAGCACGGATTTTCAACCTCTAAATCTCTGAGCCGACGTCCGACAGTGCTAATTTGTGACTCAGAACAATCCACGACATTGTACGACTATCCCCCATTGTTTTCGGAGAGTAAGTGCTTCGCTCCTGATGTGGTTGAACTAACATTTATGCCAGAGATTGGGATTTGTGTGTAGGCTGTCACATATGATCAAGCACACACATTCATACAAGTATGGTAGTAATAATAGTGGCACAAAGTTAGAGACAAATTCTTGCTGTTCGAGTAACACTCTGTTAAATAAGTTAATTACAGAGCTTGGTAATAATACCCATAGACAAACTTAATTGTAGGAGAGGAGCCGTGGGACTTTTTCTATATTACCAGTCTGTTGGTTGCACTACCACTTCCGATCGCATGATGTAGGTAAACGTGATATACAGCGATTTCCCAAAAGCCTTCAGTAGGGTCAATCATACGTATCTGGTCAAAAAACTCAAGGTGTTAGTTGTCGGTTCACCATTGGTTGGCTTTTTAAGATATGAATAAACTTTACCTTTTCTCAAGCTAGATAATTTTTTAGTGAGTCTCAGTGGGTTCAACTCTAAGACGGCTCGTTTTCGCTCATCCAAATGACCTTCTTGAACAAGCACAATCTGAGTTATAACTTTTCATCGACTATGTTCGACGTTGTAGAGAAATTTAATGTCTAGGTGACAATTTTCAATTTCAGCTACATTTGCCTCGACGTCAAGTTTGGGGGATAACAATATAATTGGTTTCATTACCTCAAAGAGTGAAGTAATCCAAATTAGGCATTCTGCATACTACACATACGGCTAGTGTAATTTCTTTTTAGAGGTGTCCTAGGTTGAATAAGACTTATTAGTCTTATCACCGTGTGATTTGAAGTCTTGTGAGAGCCGTGGCGAAAATCTCTTTCAAGTAAACCATGCACTGGTAAGGTCTAAGCGCATTTTAAGCCCTCTTGACGATAGAGCCTGCCAGCCAACTCTTTAAAGTTTCATTCGACTCAATCTAGAGTGTGGGAATATAGTGTTCCTCCCCGCACTTGAAAACAGTAATAATACTCTGGAATGTCTCCAAAGGTGGGCCATGCAATTATTTCGATAATGTGCTGCTGCTGATCTGTTGCTGGTAACTGTGTTCACGCGGGGTTAATTGTCACTAGTTTGTTTGTAGCCTCTGCATATGACATGATTTCGGATACTTTTTTGGCCTTGCAGAATCAATTTTTAGCAGCTTGTTGTTATGATTCTGTAAGACTATAGATTACTTCAGATTTTAAGAATAATTTGTAAGAAAGAACGGTTGGTTGCACCAAAGGTTATGTACAATGTGAGTTGCCGTGACGTATTTGCATTAAACAAAAGGGAGGCTCTCTAATTCACTTGGCGTACACTGTTCTTAAAAAGCGATCCAGCCAGGCATTAGAAATCTCCGTAGTTGCTATCAGTGAGTTTTTGTTCACTCAAACGGGTCAAACCGAAGCCTTCGATGACCAAATAAATGTTTCCCAGAAAAGACAAGATTGCGAGGTCATTGGTTAAGAATCTGCTTTAGAAAAAATGCATGTTGGATGCCAACCTTAAATAATATTTTTTTTATTGTGATCAAAGGGCCAAACTTAAACGGAGTCAAGGACCTCCAGTGTTTGTATGCTAAACTAAGTTGGCTCTTGGAGGATTGCAATATAAGATTGATATATCAGTATTTCATGGACGAAGAGAACAGATCGATTCTGTCACCACTAGTTTATCAGGCTGAACTTCTGTAGTAGGGTTTTTGTAACTACAAACACACCTTGAGGTACTAGGTAAGCGATGTTTGGTAGTGAAAGCAAGTGTGATAGGTCAGTGAGTATGGACAGACAGCACTCAACATATCGACTATTAAATTGATTAATTCACTTCCTCCTATTGGTTTCGAGTCCAAACTGAGAGTGATATTTGTAATTGTGTAGAATAAAATACTATCTAGCGTTACGCTGGTCCTCTACTCTTGTCCATGAATCGGATATCTGATATAAAGTGATTGATCTGATAAAAGTAAATCAGTTTAGACAATATGTGACTTCCACGTATGATCATGTAGATTAGGCGGTCAAATCATGACAAATCTACAATTTTAAGATTAGGTCTATCATCACGGTGGCATAGATAACTGTACTGATGTCGTACCAAACCATGAATAAACAACTTCCTTTTTCGATAGTGTAATAAGAAGACGAAGATTATTAGATTTATGTGACATATTAACGCAATACATCTCGAATAATCTGATGGTTGCAGAAACAGACAGAACCAAATGACCCAATAAGAATAGAGGACAAATATCGATCATTCTCTATTGCCAAACATAACTGAAACAGGTCACAAGATTGATCTTAACTCAGCTATTGCGGTAACGTGCAAAAGTGTAAAAAGGCGCATACTAAGGTTTATAGAAGCGTTAACCAAACAAAAAATCAAGCCCTCTTTGTGCATTCAAAAAACTTTTTTTATTTTTGTATATAAATGCTCTCAACAAATATATGTGTGATCAGATTGTTCGAAATGTATTGTCTAATACACCACTTAGTTTTGATAATCTTCGTCTCCTTATTACACTACGGAATTTATGAAGAAGAATTTTTACCTTAAACTTCCTATTTCCGTGATTATTGTTTTCCTTTTGTTCTTTCAGAACACTGATGACGTAACGCACTGTGTCTTCAACGTACGTATTATAAACTCACAACTCTGGCTTGTAATAAGACTTATCGAGTCAGTCCCAAGTAACCGCCATGAGACCTTTATGGTCATTATGAAACCATCTGTTTTCGATTCTCTATGTTGCACACAAAATATGACAGCAAATGGGCATCCAGGTTCCTTATAAACATTTTTAGTTACAATTACCAGTTACAACATATAGATCGAAATATCAGGAAACACAAGATAGAAGCAGTAAATGGCAGTTGGAAAACTAAGCTTCTTGAAACCGAGTTGCTGTGTGCCCGAAAAGTTGAGTTTTGTCATGATGATCTGTTAGCACGAGGTATTTGGCTGAAATTGAATAAAGATTAACAATGTACTCAAATGGAACCCAAAAATGAGAAACAATCAATCAAAATTCAACCTCACAATAGATTCTAGTGACTGAACGTGATACTCTTGTTGAGTGCGTAAATGTTGTATCTGCATCTGCGACACTAGGTTTATAGTCCTGAATTAAAATCGTCATTTGAGTATGATGTGACCGCCAAAACTATGTTAGATCACATAAAATTCATATTACTGCTAATCTTGGTTTGCCCTAACGTGGTCACAAGGTGACTCGGTTCTTCACGAACCTTTAAAGAACAAATAAAATGTCGTTCGTAAGATGTTATATTTAGGATAAAGATCAAATTTTCAAGTAGCCTGACCCCTCCATGCATTTCTGCGCTGTGCGCACTCCGTATTCTTCTCTCACTGACTTTTTTATCTCCAACTTTCCATTCGCTGTTCAAAACCAAGTGATTAACCTTCTAATGCAGAAAAACATTCTACTTGAAAAGCTATAATTGTAAGGTTCAGATTTATTCCGCTCTTCCTAATAACATAAAAGTGTAAGAAATACAAAGTAACTTCAGATAATAATTCTTATTTCTAAAGCCTGTGTTCTTTCGGTTTACTTGAATTTGCCCGGGACCCCAACGTATACTGAAGTTTAGGGACACTTCTTTCTCCTTAAGAAAGGTCACATTCAAGAGTTTAGTGCCGGCTATAGCAAGAAATTGATTTTGACGGACCATTCTTAAACGTAGTGTTACACTGACAGAAAACTAGTTAACGTTGGCCATAACGATAGTAACGAGTACACTACACGTTCTATAACAAAGGTTTAAACATGACTGTATATCACGGTTAAAAAGTGGCTGAGCATTACAATCTAGCAATTGCTTAGGGAAAAAATTGCATTTACTTTGAGCTGTCTCAAGTCGCTTTTACAGAGAAATATTTGGAGTTCTATATAACAGATACGTTATATTTCATGTTGCGTGTTATGTTCAAGCAAATAGTCTATATCATGAGTAAGTACTGAGTCAAGGCTATTTCATATAGACTCATAAACCTCTTTAGATAATACAAAAACTAGTATTTCGGTTTTAATAAAGACTTAGAGCGTGGAATAAACCAACTTCAAGCCTTCATTTGTGCTACTTAATCTCAGTTTACTCTTACGCAACTACAAATGTAACCAAGGCTAAACCAGAGTATACGTAAGATCAAGTAGTTACGAGTGACCGAGTGAAGATTGCTTTCTTAATGTAAGCGTTATTACAAATGATTGCTACTATTTGTATGCATGTTTCTTACATATAGCGTTATTTATTATCAAATTATTTTTATGCTATCACATGTGTTACGTTTGTAGCTTGTAAGTACTAGGGGTTTACTGGACAGTCGTAAGAGTACTTTTAGGAATCGACTATGGAGTAGTTAGTTCAAGCTTTTAAAGCCAAGAAAAAAGATAACATACCGTTTCAATTTCGTCTGTACCGTACAGAGAGAAGCATGAATAACGACTGTATCACAATTGATTGATCACTGGGTGGTGACCAATCTCTTATTAGTGCAGATCGAATGCTATCGATCATGTTGCAATGTGGCCACCAGTCTAGGTGACTCGACACTGCGGGCACTATGTATTGAGATTAGATGGTGGTTGAAGGTAGTCAACAGGAAACCCTGGACCCAGTCCTACAGGAGGTCAGTCGCGGCTCGGATAGCTCAGTGGTAACGTCTCTGACTGTGAAGCTGGGTGACACGAGATCGAATCCGCCAGGGAGCACCAGTTCCCTCAAGATTACAGGCACACCTTGCTGACAAGTGCAAAGTAGCACGAAACCCGGGTCCAGGGTTTCCTGTTGACTACCTCCAACCACCATCTAATAACGACTGTATAAACTGTACTTCATAGACAACTGTGTAGATATGAGGGGGACTTAAATATGAAAGGATGTTCGTTGTTTTGTAGGGGAATGCCATATCGTTCCTTAAGAGAGGACGGTATCAAAGCTCAGAGAACAACAAGCCATATCTATCTATTCATTGCAGAAAATAGTCAGGGATATCTGGAAACCACATTTTGACAACTGTACTTTTTCGTCACTTGTGTCTTCGATATAAATCAACCGTGCCATCTCTTCACCCATATACTTGGAGAGATAGTTTGGTAGATTTGATTTTGACAGTGCCTCACCAGGTCAAAACAGATACAGCCAAGACAAAAGCCAACCTGAAACTTAATGTGTTTAACTACCTTATGTATTTAATATGCTGAACATAAGTTCATCCATTCTCTCACAACATTATCTACTCTGACAGTCTTAGTCAAGACTTTCCTCAGACTCGTCGAAATTTCGTAGCGCCGTAGATAGTTGCAGTAGTAAAATAAAATCCGATAGTCTATAATTGAAAGAAATAGTTAGTAAACGAATCATTAGATTTAGACAATTAATATGTTGCTAGTTAAAATAATCTACTGAAGGTTTATACACCATCTGACCAATGCTACAGCTAGGTTATAAGTGAGACATCAATCCTATACTTGAGACTAAGGTTTACTATGCCTTTTTCGACAGCCCACCCTTAATATTTCAGCTGATGCGTGACCGTTATAGCAACCTGACAAATGCCAACGTTAGTCTAAAAAACTCTTTGAGCTAGATTGGATCGGCGAATAAAATGGTTAAATGATTCAGGCAACTGCTGAACCTTTCCAAATTGTACCTGTCTGCTGAACCTTTGCCTTGTTTAGCTGGTTAGTGTTAGGCACCGCGCAACTTAAAAAACCAAGTGGTCATGGTATGTTTCCAGCCTTTATTTAATCGTGTCTTTAGGGTCGAGTTCGAACAAAAACAGTGAAAAAAGCCTCGAGGTTTATAATCGAGAGGTTTTACTCCAAGCTGACAAGAGACTTTCACACAAACAAATTTGTTTGCCAAGACATCGCATGCATTGGTTCAAAAAGATTGCGTAACATGATCGCAGGTTATGTGACACATTTAATGAAGCGTTTCGAAGCGGGACCTGTACGTGGTATTAGTATTAAGCTTCAGGAAGAAGAAAGAGAACGAAGGGACAACTACCAGCCAGAGGTCTCAATATTTGATACTATGGCCATTGAAATTGACCCCGTAGCACAGGAAATGTTGCAAAGCATGGTATGTACTTTGGTTGTATTAACGGTCTTTCTTTCAGAACGTTGCACATGCGAAGAACATGCGTTCATTCTTACCTGCTGTAAAGTAAATTTTTATCCAAATAAACTGGTTTGCAAACTATGTGGTCTTTTCAGTGGCTTAAACATTAAGTAATAAGTACTACTTAGTTTCGTTCATTCACTGCTAGTCTTGGGCTATGTTATTGGTCAAAAGCTTTGCTTGTAAATCCGTTGATCGTCTTTGTAAAACGCATTTAAAGTATTTCATGACAGAATTTACTAATTCTTGTAACCCCTTGTAGAGGTCGCCGACCAGTTGTTTGCAGTCTACTCTGTTCTGGCCCCTACATCCCAGTTTCTGTCGAGTAGTATCCTTTTTTTGAGAGTTATCTCCGATTACTTATGCATCGCCTTCGGTCTGTCTCCACTTTGCCTTCAGGATTTGGAGTTAAGGCTTGCCTAGTAATTCGGTTATGTGGTTTTTGTTAAGTGTAGCCTACGCACCTCCACCCAAGTTCCTCGGCTGGAATCTGTTTCGTTCTCTGATACAGCAGGTTATTGTTGCTGGTGTCTGGCCAATAGATCCGTAGTATCTTGCTTAGACAAGTGTTTATAAATACATTCACCGTTTTGATGATTGTTGTATTGGTTCTCAGGTTCATATAGCGAGACTACTTCGACGTTTGTATAAAAAATTCTGATGCGTTGGCTAACAGTTGTTATAATGCTCGTATGTTTTTGAATTGTACAGATAGTGCTTTCACTTTCCCAATCCATGCCTTTATATTCGGGTCTGGCCTCCTTGTTTATCAGTGATACTGCCAAAGTAAAAGTTTCCATCCATTCCGTGGCTCCTTAATCAAGTGATTTGTCTGGTTCTCTGTGTTGTAATTTAGGGTCCTAATTTTTCCTTTCTGAGTGTTGAGGTCCACTCCTACTATACTACCCCCATTGCTTGTTGTGTATTGGGTAGATGGTTCAAATCATCTGCGGAGTTCAAACCTAAGTATGTGCTGTGGTACGTTCTGACGCCGATTCGATCTCTGGCGGATTCGTTCCTTATAACCTAAATCTCAAGTCTTATACGTTGGATTTTCATAAATCGATTAGATTCTTGCCCTACGTGCAGTACTTCTCATTTTAACATGTATGATAGCAATGGCTATGTCCCAGTTTTAACGTTGTAAAAGGACTATCCCTTTTTTATTCTTAGATTTCTATTAGGATATAGAAGTCGGCACTAAGAAACTGCTTCCGGACTACTGATGGTCTGAACGTTCAGCTGTTAAATACTGCTTGAGGACTTGTATATCATAGCTGGTATCATCGTTCTGTTAGTCCAGCGAGCACATTTGCAAGTCGACGTGTCGACTTATTTAGATAAATGTATTCCTACGTAGTCGACTGAGTCACCGTTTTCAAACAGAGTAATTACACTAAATGATTGCCCAAAACTTGTGTGCCAGATTATACTCAAATCATTAAGCCGTCATTATGTTCACATACGATTATATTTCAGGGCACGTTAAGCATGATGTGAAAGTTCTTGGATTTCCTGCCTAGGACTTTGGCCGGTCGCACATGATTAAAATAAATTGTCCACATACTTAGGCTATATGTGGCAATATTTCGAGGTGTCTTTTTGGTTTTCTATGTTCCAATTCTCTAGAGTCGGTTATATGTACCTTAATACTTCAGTTATGTCGTCCTTGAATTGTTTGGGATGTTACTGGTTGATTACGTTGTTACTGTGTGCTGTCGATTCGTCTGTCATCTTCGTTCTTTAAGGTAACGCATGGATGAATTCGAAAGCTCCGTTCTAAGTTTTGGTTTTGTCTGATGTATTCATTTCGGAAGGGTCACTGTACATCATGCTGTTTATGTTAGCATAAATTCAGTGGTTTCCTGGGCGAATTTTTGGAGAAAATGTGTTAGGGAGTACTAGATATCGCGACGAAGTTAAGGATTATGAGTTTTAAAAAGATAATAACATATCACTCCTATGTTCAAGTACTTGACGTTTATATACTTGTGGTAGCTTATTTTGCGTGTCCAACGGGATGAGTTTTTTGACTAAGGCATTTAGATACTATGGAGACTACTATATGCTGAGTGCTGCGAATACCAGGTATATAAATAAACCTAAGTCTAACGTATGACCTTATAAGGACCACACGTAAGTAGCCCGTATCACGGTTCGGAGGTTTTATAACAACTATCTTGCAGCCCTCTTATTAACTTAACAGACGATGTAATTTGAACAGTAGCAATTCACGTATTTCTTTGCACCGTTATGATCACACGACACTTACTAAAATGTTGATTGCTTATATATCACTCGATGATTCATCCTTTTCCCCATGTATGTATGTACTCAAATCATATTATTAGCTTTTGCTGCACCCGTATGCAATTTGACTGCAAATTAGCCTATGCGGTTTCTCGCATATACTTATTCGCCTCCGCTTCAAACTCACTCGATGTGCTTATATTTTGTGGTCTGCCCTATCCGCAAATAAACTGCAGTTATCGCTTCTCTTTATGGACAGCTCAGAATCAATTAGACGATTTGGACTTCGCAGATGACCTAGCCCTCCTATCATGTACACACGAACAGATGCAGATGAAGACAGCCAGTGTAGCAGCAGTCTCTGCATCAGTAGGCCTCAGTATACGCAAAGGGAAAACCAAAGTCCTCAAGTTCAAAGCGGAAAACAGAAATCCAATCATTCTTGATGGCGAAACTCTGGAAGATGTAGAGTCCTTCACATACCTGGGAAGCATCATCGATGAACAAGGAGGTTCAGATGCAGACGTAAAGGCGAGGATCGGCAAAGCAAGAGTCGCATTCCTACAATTGAAGAACATATGGGACTCAAAACAACTTTCAACCAATATCAAAGTGAGAATCTTCAAAACGAACGTCAAGGCAGTTCTAATGTATGGAGCTGAAACTTGGAGTACTACAACAACCACCATCAAGAAAGTACAAGTATTTATAAATAGCTGTCTACGCAAGATACTCAACATCCACTGGCCGGATACCATCAGCAACAGCCTTCTGTGGGAGAGAACAAACCAACTTCCAGCTGAAGAAGAAATTAGGAAAAGACGATGGAAATGGATAGGACATACATTACGCAAATCGTCAAACTGCATCACGAGGCAAGCCCTAACTTGGAATCCTGAAGGGAAGCGAAAAAGAGGAAGGCCAAAGAACACATTGCGTCGGATTATAGAAGCAGATATGAAAAGGATGAATTACAACTGGACGGAGCTAGAAAGGATTGCCCAGGACAGGGTTGGATGGAGAATGCTGGTGAGCGGCCTATGCTCCTTCACGAGGAGTAACAGGCGTAAGTAGGTAAGTAATCGCTTCTCTTTGCCTTCTGATTTCAAACACCATTCAGGTTTATATTATAACGGTTATCGAGGTGTTCGATCAACGAAGCAAAGCCATTACAGTCTTACAAACTTGAATTATCATAAACGAGCACTTGGCATATTTCATTTCTTCAATCTTGTGCTATCACAAGTTTCGAAGTTTTAGCCGACACATGCCTAAATTTTGTTCTCGATGACATGGGGAATAATACACTAAAATCTAAGGAATATTTATGACGTTAATAGAAATAAAAGTCAGTGAGGTTTATGACAAATAACAATATGATTTACGGGTTTGTCACTTCAGATTTACTCATAAAGTTTGTTGCTTTGGCTGGATTGTTATTACATCATCGTTTAATAGTGTTTCTGAAAAAAAGATAGAGAATAAGCGATTTGGTTTTGTTTACATGAGGATTTATGGGATGTAGATTCTAAAAAAGAATAAGATCATGCATAACTTCACAAATTTCGAGTAGTTGCACCTACCCCTATATTCATCTTAGTACTAAGTAATCGCAATCGGATTTTATCATTTAATTGCTACCAAACTCTTCCAACCCAACCAGTTTTAAGGTCTGGAAAATATCATGTTGCTGATACTCAAGTTACAGATAAATAAGTGAGAGTCTGGTACACCTATTACCTCATCTTAATCTTTGAAGCATCCTGTATTTAATTTGTCTCCACTTGATACTTTGACTTTGTGTAATATCTCTTCTGAAAAGTTGGTCTAGTACCATGTCTTATCAGGTCAAATATGACCCTGTCTGTAATGTTTGCTGTGAAGTGATGAATACTAAAAGGAAGCGATCCTGTATTCGCAATGACTCGAAACTTCATGAATTTATGCATGATCATTGCGTAGTTAGTGCCAGATATATTTCGTGGATGCAGGAAATAAACACCTGAACATAGTAATCACCACTTATCAATAATAATACTTCCAATCTTCAATAAAACAGTGGGATTATTTAACTCGTCTGGAATAAGATAATCTCTATCACCGTTTCAAATGCATATAGTATTACCTTTCTTGGAGAAATTCTAAACGACTTATTAGGACTTTGTCATGTATTATTTATCTCAGATTATCTCACCGAAAAATGCTTCAGCTGTTCATTTGTATCGATCTTTGTTTTTCAGAATGTTCGTTTCTAATAACGTCTATTTTTCTGAGATTTTACTAATAGGCTTAGTTTAATCATTTTCATACGGTTTTTAGTTTAAAATGATCGTAGCTTCAAAACAGTAAGACGGTAATTGCTGAGTATCATTTAGAATTTGGCGTTATACGTTGTTTATATAAGGGGTACTTTGTAGCTATTTGGCCGTACAAACCACTTGATTGGTTTCATTTATCTGCGAAAATTATGTGGTTTTCAGAAGCATAGATTAAACGGGGTGGAATCATTACAGTTATGCTTTCTCATACTCAGCTCTATGATCGCTTATCTCTTGGGAGTTAAATAGATCCGTATCTTTTGTGCTTTTTCACGTAAAACATCAAGTCGCATGTTTTAAGTTAAAAGATTTTTATTATGACTATCCAATTCACCTCAACAAAATAGGTTACGATGATTAGGGCAAGTGGCTATTGGGAACTTCAGTTTGGAGTTAATTGATATGATGAATTGAAATAAGTTAGGGAACTAACAATCTGTGATTCCATAGCAGTGCATACTTATAGTGATGCAAGTGGTCACACAGTACCTTCCGGTCTTTGGATGTGAACAACTCAACCGTAATCTGATGATTCAGGTTTCGTTAATTTGTGATCGAACACGACTATGGACAATATTTATCTTACCCCAAACAAGACTGAATTATGTTTAAATTATGACGTAAACAGCTAGCTTACTGCTAGTGTAACTAATCCACCAAGCGTAAATTTATTTAGTCCGTTTCAAGTTTAATCTTATTTAGCCACCAGATGACTGTTCGTATCTATTCCGAATTCTAGCCCACTGTTCTGATTTATTTAACAACAACCCATAACCAAGTGGATAAGAAAGTTAGTAACTTAGATGGGAAATATCCATAGGTTATATCAATTCAGAAAACATGGCAACTCAGGTATAAGTCTTCTTACTAAACTAAGACAACGTCAGAGAAGGCCTAAATGTAGACGGAAATGTTTTGTTAAAGTAATTTCATTTACTTTAGTCAACTGTTCAACTATTCAAAGTCCCGGTGCAGCTGTGTGTAGAAAAGATAAAAAGCACTAGTTGGTAACAAAGCGAATCGTGTCTGTTCCTTTATCCGTTATTCATTTAGAAAAACATCGATTTGGGTCTATGTTTTCTGTTTCACAAAGTGAGATTAACTTGACTCCTTAGTAAGCACTTCATCACCATCAACGTCTTTCAAGGAGCAAACGTCAAAAAGGATTAACGTCTAACATTTCTTGGACTGACATGAGAAAACGCGAAGGCGACACCTACCATCAATTGGCTCACTGCACATCATAGTGCCTGCACCTTCAGCACGTGGCTTTTTGTTTGGTTTTGACGAATCAGAACGTTGACATTGTGACGCTAACGACCGTGATACTTTAAATCTCCATGGTTCTTCCATTCTCTCAGTAATTTTCATATTCTTGTAGGCCAGAGCTAACAGTTGAACCTATGAAAATGATTCATGTGGATGTGCAAGTACGTTCTACCTTTTTTTGATTAGTAAATAAATCTGGTGTAGTTTCCATTTCTGAAGAAGTTAGGTTATCTTTAATGAACTTCGCTAGACATGATCTAGCATAGATTGGTAAAGAAAATTGGTATTCTAGATCTGTAGGGTCGAAGTTTGCTAGGCCTTCCTTCACTCTAAGGTTTCGTAACTGGAATATAGATATCGTACTTCTTCTTTGAAAACATTTCGTGAAGAGTGGTCAAAAGAATAATTCCTGCATTTCTTTTGTTATGGGCGGCACATTCAATAATATCTGGTGGCAGATAGATGCACAAACGTTGTAGTATCTAAGGTGACTAAAAAACTATTGAGTTAAAAACCTCTTGAATCATGTTCCAGTTATGTAGCTTGACTTTTATACTCTGTCCATCAATAAATTTCCCAAGATTCACCGTTTTCGGTTGGTAATTGTGCAAAATTTCAGCCACTAGAATACCATTGGAAACACACCTATTCGTCAGTTTATGGTAAATGCATTTGATGCTAACCATTTAGGTTTCTGTGTTCCAGATTAATATCTAATGTTAGTAGCCAACGTAGCACTTCACGTGGTATTTCCGCCATAAGGTTGTTATAGTAGCAACTTTGTTGGACATCTTTAGTTTGTATCGGACAAAAGCCTATATTATTCTCTCTTTCCTAACAAAATGCAATTAGACTGCTTACTTACGTGACTTGGGAAATATGAGTAATTCAAGAGACGTACAGCATGTGGCGATTCATCTAGTATAATCAGCAATAATCCCTTCAGATCATTGTGTTTACCTATTTTACCTTTGTTTTCAAATCCACTTATTGTTACTTCATACACTTCTGCTTGCACCGTCGTCAAAACCTTACGCTCCACAACTCCAAGCTCATTGACCTTTAAGTACTTCAGGTGAAGAGATCTTTAACGAGTCGGTTAACGTAGAGTCCCTAAAAATTTGATGAACCTCCTAAACCGGGCTACATAGCTAAATATTTTCATCCGCTCAGAGTAATGGGAAAGAATAGGGGAACTTCTCTGTTTAGTGCTACTCAAGTTAATCACAACAGTTGACTTTCTAAACTCAATGTTTTTCAGTAGGTTGCGGACAGTCAGTTGTCATCTCAGGAAAATCCTCATGCACTAAGGCGGGGTACTTAAACCAAGATTTGAGACCGATCTTTTTATGCATACCTTTTGAGGTCTGTCACGATCTTATGTAACTCCATCGTTCAACCTTCCTGTACTGATGCACAATAGTGATGCGATTGACTACATAGGCACTGAACCAACTATCAGTACTCCTAATGTAATACAACACTATTGTGACAGAAAAAGAATGATCAAAATCCCTTCGCAGCTTTTTTGTTGTACAGTACTGTCATTTATTTGTTTCATCTCCCGGTTATGTAATTTAGCCTTTGTTCAGATTTTGTTTAACCACACCTTTTGTTCTTTAGTCTTCCCCATCCGAGCCTTTATTATGTGATCTTGATTAAAAACTTATCTTTCTTCACCTTACTTTCTATTGCATGGTTCCGGATTATTGACAGTAATGTCGTAGTTTACTAGGCTCAAGGTCACGGCGTGGTTCAGTGTGTGACTGTTAACCCTTTGACAGTCTGCATGAGAGGATTGCTGGAACCCCTGCAGATGGATATTTGATCACATCTTGCTTGGAATATTTTTGTTGATTCTCGGATATCGATCCCTTTGATATTAACTGTTGCTTTTATTGTTTAGCGCACTACTTTGCATTAGAGAAACCTTTGACTGTATAACTTAGGCTGTACCGTTTTAGTTACTTTGTAATTTTGATATAATTTGTTCTATTTCCTAAATTTGAACCGTTCAAATTGAGCACAGAGTTTGTGTTTTGTTATAATTCAATTTGAGAATCTCAAAAACGCTTCGGAAGCAATACAGGAGAACATAGTCTGGCCTATTCGAATAAATTTTGGTTCGTCAGTCCTGCGTTCAAACCGAATACTGGGAGTTCGGTCGTTACAACTATTATTAAATTTGCATAAAATTCACATCAAATAGAAAAACAAGGAATACTCCTCTCTAAGATCTTACTGATCCTTACAATTAACACGGCTGCCGCAATCTCCAGTCTCGGCACAGTAACTTGTTTGATCGGTGCTTCCAGAGACGTGTTGCAAAACAAAATACAGCGTACTGATTGCTTCGGATAACTATTATGTGCCAAAACCTGATACATCACTGAATAAATGTAGCTCTACCTTAGCACCGAGTCCGTCAGTCCTTTTCCAAATCCCCTGAGACACCGCAACACGGTCTATGTGACATATAAAATTCAGCCATTTCAGCCAGGCTAGCAAATACGGCCGCTGAGCACCTGATCTCAGTGTATCTGGGCCTTAAAAATCTTTCTTAGGTGAAGTTTAGCTGCTAAGGCAGGTTGGGCCAATTAGGCGAAGTGGGTTAGACAGAGAAGAACCGGATGATAAAATCCCTCATTTAGTCAAAGGCTTCTCCGGTGTATAAAATAGTAAAACTTAGAAACATCTTAACAACAAACATACTTTTGTGATATTCCAATGAGTAGAAATTGTATTTCCGACGCTTCATTCTCTAGCAAACTGTTGATGAAGGCTGGTCATATATCATATGCTAGTGTATTAAATAAAAGATTATAGCCTAGAGTTGTTTCGTTCTTGGTGGCGGGTAATCACGAGGTCTTTGATATAACTTCACATGAATCCTTTCCGGCATTAATTAGGCTGTTCAGAAGTGGCTTCAATATACTCCCTAGATATTTAGATTGTGCATGTATGGGAGCATTTGTGAAATCCACTATGGGTTCTAAAGGAAAGCCAGGCTTTTGAATTTTTAGAGGCCCAAAGAAACGTGATGTAATGTTGGATCCAGGGTACAAGGCAAACCATAAGGAAACGTGAATGAAAGGCTTTAGCTATTTCGGTGGTGCACTTGTATTTGATTTAACTTTATTATCTGTCACTTGAAGATTTTTGTAGTCGATCTTCAAATGTGACCCTGTCGGACCCATTATGATGTTGATTAAACGAAACGTCAGAAATAAAATTTTCCACTCATTGAGATATCACATAATAAATTTGACATTAATTTTCTACCCAATGCTCAGTTTGTTTGGAACTATGAAGTTCGACTTTGCCATTGACTCCTCAACTACATGTTGTCTGAAATCTTATTCTGAGCCTAAGGTCCAGTTATAACTCTTTAACATGTTTATCAAAGACATGCACATCAGGCAAGAAGACTTTTAGCTTCTTCCGTGTTCATTAGTCATTACTCAATTTTGAAACCTACTCCAGATAATTTTTCACTTATTTTCATAACAATTTTCTCTGCCTGTTTCCGAGTGGAAAAGGATATCAAGAAGTCATATTCATGGGAATTATTCTTGTCGGCATCTACGACTAAACAACCATAACCAGAACAGAATTTTCGGGCTGTTTTATTGGTAGCAAAGTTCGCACAAAACAGCGGTGACGTTTTCTGATGGATTTATAACCATCATCAGGAACGTTTAACAGGAGCACAGGTTGGAGCACCAAAAATACCTAGATGGCACTAAAATGCACAAAACACATTTCAACTAGCCGTCAAAAAAATACAGACGGTGAGCAACGATCAAATGGCTAATTTTGGACGGCAGCAGTGGAAATCTAAAGAATAACTTGCACTAACAATTAAAATATAATTTCTTAAAAACGTGGAAAATAAGCTCAGCAAAAAGTAATGAGGCATACAAATCACTTTTAAAAACCAGTTCACAAACATCGTAAACTGCGTTATGGGTACAAACTTGCGTGGACCAGACGACATATAAACGCAAAAAATATCAACAAAGTTAATAAAGATCAATAGAAATGTTAATATATGTATAAGTTAATTGGTTTCTTTTTCCCCATATCTACCAGGAGGTTGTAAGCACCAAGAAAGTCGGCCCCGAGAATGGGTTGTTTGATCTCAGCTACGATGAAAACCGATGTGAAACGTCTGCGAAGACCGAGATCTAAGATAAGTGATTGTTCGCCGTAAGTTTTAATGACTGTGTTGCTGGCTGCGACTAGAGACAATTTAGTACTCTGAGAGTGCCGTCGTTGAGAGAGGTGTAATGGGACAATGCTGGTTTCGGCTCCTGTATTTGCTACCCAGCAAGAGCATGTCACGTTATGTCAGTATCACAACAGTAGTGTGTTCAAGGTCATTTACTAAAACAACAGGTACAATCATGTAATGATAAAATATACAGACAGTGAAAGACTGACAAAATAAATACAAATAATATTAAAAACTATTTACAAAATAAGCTTGTCAGACCTATCTCCACAAACTATTCACATTGAAACACCAAAAACTACAACCAAACCATAAACTAAATGAAACAAATTTAGAACGAAATATGGAATCCATAATGACTGGCAGGGGTGATGTGTAATATGCAACATCATCAGATATCTTAACTTACCGTAAGAGTAAATTCACGAAAGAGAAACCTGAAGATTCTTCAACTAATCAGCGTTCAGCTAACTGCGATCCTCCTAATCAACTGTCCTGATCCAAACAATCCGTAATTATAAGTCAAAGGTCGTTTTTATCTTTCTGTGGTGGACCAGACAAATATGAACGCAAAAAGTATAAATAAAGTTACTACAGATAAATAGTAATATTAATATATACAGTTAATTGTTACAAATACAATAAAAATTGGGGACGTTACTTAAATTGCCCAAACGTTGCGTGTTCTGATTAGGTCCAGTAATGTAAATCCACAATTATAAATGTTTGATGACTCTGAGCAGGTTGGTGAACTCTCTAGCGATATAGTCCAACGTTGGATGTGATATATTCCGATTATAGTCTATAAATGTAGATAGTATTTGATTTAGACTTCCATTAACTCAATCACAAATGAAGATAGAACGAGGAATGCGTGAGTAGTAATGTATTTTGTTAACCAGCACTAATATGTCACGCTATGTAGTAGCTCAACGGAAAGTGTGTTCAAGGTCATTTACTAAAACAACATGTACAGTCATTTAATGATAAATGTACATACAGTGAAAAATTGACAAACAAATACAAATAATATTAAAAACTATTTACAAAATAAGCTTGTCGGTCATATCTCCACATAGCTCCCCCCAGAGTGTCCGGAGGTAACACTGGTTACAATAACAATAAGAAAAATTTTATACAAAAAAAAATAATATTTACATTAATAACCAATTAACAATGTGGAGATGCGTATGACATGTACGTTAATAATATACAGTGTGTTATTGCGTGAAAATAGCGGTGATGTGGCATAGCATGACAAACAAAAGTAATGAGAATACCGTCTTTCAAAATTTTGGTTTGCTAACAATGATAATAATGTACAGAACTGTTACTGAACCCAAAAAAAATGAACTGCTTTTTTTTGTGTGTGTACAACAAATGAGTAATTAAATAGAGTTTACTCGTTTATTATTGTAACAAATTTTTTTTTATAAAAAAAATGTGACAAAACGAATAATTGTGGGGAAAAAAATATGGTTAATTATGTACACTGTAAAAAAAGGAAAAAAAATTTGTTTTTTTTAATCGACGAAATG